CTTTGACACAAAATCGAATTTTTCTGAAATGATATGCCAATGTTTTTTCCGTATTTCCATTCTACGACTCAAATTATGCCAAACTGCTAAGTTTTGTAAAAATAGCACGAGTAGTTTTTAAAAAATTAGCTCTCAAAAGTTTAGCTCCTTAATGTTAATTCAATTTGGTATGTATCAATAATATCTATTTTTTATGAAACGTATTTCATTCCTTTCTGCACAGTTCGAAATTTAGGTTTATTCCAAATAAAATTTACCCATTTTTTATGATTTATTTTTAAAATTTGTATATTTAAATAAATTTTATAAATTGTTCGGAAAAATTAGAAAAAGTAGATGTATTTCTAAGCATACCTGCAAAAATTAGAGCTTTTTTATTCAAAATTTCCTAAGATATGCGTGAATTTATATACTGGCGCGTTTTGAAATTTGGTATATTTGTTGAAAACGATAATAACGAAAATGTGGTTTACGAACTTTTTTAAAATTATTTGAAAGTAGCAACGATGGGACTTTTTTCCCGCTCATCCACAATGTAAAAAGGTAAGAACGATGTGAATTTTTTTCCGCTCCTGCACAATGGAAGGGAAAGAAAAATAGGTTGCCATTAAGAAGAAGAAAATTAAGAAGTTCGCCAAGTGAATTATTCTTGGCTCAAACTGTAAAAAATATGCCAAGTTAAATTTTTGAATTTCTCCGTAACTTTCGCAAGAAATTTTACAAATTAGGCATAATTTGAGTCGCAGAATCGAAATATGGAAAAAACAAATGTCATGTTATTTCAGAAAAAGGTCACATTTTGTGTCAAAATACCTATATTAGAACAAAGCTATATACATATCTAATATTTATCCTACGTTGCGCTTTCGAGACATGGAAAGCACAATTTGAATTTCGTCAATCGGCCCAGTAGAACGGGAGATAGAACTGTACCCCCTTTTTTTTTGCTGCAGTGTACGTGTATAAAAGTTTCGGCAGAACTGTTGCTCTTCTTTAGAAGTGATTAACGAAATTCCTCTCCGTTCGTAACAGTAGTTTCCTTATTTAACACTGGTTTCAGCAGAAGGAGAGTTTCGTTTCTCAAAGATTAAACAATTAACAGTCTTGAAGAAAAAACTTAACATTTTAATTAAAATTCTAGAAATATAGAAAGGGAGAAATGTAAAATGCTCAAAGCAAGAGGTTATTCAAAGGAAAAGGTAATGATTTTACTGGAAATAATGTAACAAATAAAAAAAAATAATCTAAAGTCGGAACAAATCTTTTGGGGTCAATAATAATATTTATTATCTGTAAAATCTTCGGATTTTCAGATATTTCTTCATTTTCATTTTAGAGAAAAATCTTTGAGTCAGAGCTTTAAGAACGACATGGAAATTCAATTCCAGTGCATGACTTTCTGAAATTTCCTTTACAAACCCAGTGTCAGAACATAGGCGTATTAGATATATTATTCTCTGTTGGTTTACCACAAGCATGTGTTTTCGTGCATGTTCGAAATGCTAATTCGCATATCAAGGAGTTTTAGTGTGACACACGTTTATAAAAACACACATAAACTGGGATGAATCAAAAGAGAATGTAGTACGGAATCTTTGTTTGTGAATAGAAAAGTTCGTATTTACTGGAAAGAAGAGCGATAATATTGACAAAAAAGCCAAAATTTGAGTTTATGATGTTAAGTATACAAGGTGCGGTCATTAGATTTCCTTATTTCGCACTCATATAAGTTTATAGATCTTTATAGATAAAAAGCCAAAATTTGAGTTTATGATGTTAAGTATACAAGGTGCGGTCACTAGATTTCCTTATTTCGCACTCATATAAGTTTATAGATCTTAATACTTGTATAAGTTTATAGAGGATTGTTTCAAATTTGTAAAAATGAGAATGAACATTCGTCAATTTATTGCGAATAAGTGCACTTTTATAACGTTTTTATAGTAGCAAACAGAAAGTTGAATCAATAGCACAAGCCTGCGACAGTTGTGTTTTTTATTTTTGATAATTGATTCTTATGTGTTTATCAGCGGTGGATTCGAAAATGATCTTCATTCTTTGCCATCATTTCAGGGATTTCCGCAAATAGCAAATTTCAAAATATTTAAAAAGTCAAAAAATTACAAAAATGTGAAGTTTAAAACAGACAATACGTTTTCTTATAATTTATTCCTTTTTTTGCAGTATGATAAGCATTCTTATAACAAAACAGTTGAGGGGTCTGATGGGGGAGAAGGTTCATTGACCCTTTCCGTTTTCTAATGAAGATTGCTAAGCCTAGTTTTTTACTTCATTGCATTTTTCATTTACTTCCGTTAATTGTTTTTTAATTTTTAAAACGTATATTGGGCTCGTATTCCTTAGGGAATTTGTAAGATATTTTCAGTCGAAGATGAAGAGACGGTGGGAGTGTTGCCTCTTCATTGCTGAGCGCATGCTTGGAACCGATACCTTGGCAATGCTCTTAAAATAATATCGATGCTCTTAAAACGTCAAGGAGTTTCCTTTGTTCCATACATTTTTCTTGTTTCTTCTGTGAATGGCATAGAAGAAACAGTGAAAACCATTTATTAAAAAAAAAAAAAAAAAAGATTGGCCAAAAAGAGATTTATTAGAACCTGGAACAACAGTGCTCCGAAAAGCTCTCAAAGATTCGAATAAAGTTATCCTTCCACCTCTTCATATCAATCAGTAATTTGTCAAACCCTAACCAAAAGAAGGTTAAATACATCTGTGACAAATTTGCAGCCTTATCAAGCACTAAACTAAAAGGGGTACAAACACTCTCTTTTAGTTTGGTGGTTGATCCTGGTACTGACATTAGGACACTTCTCAAAGAGGGTAATTTTAAGAAACGAATGAATGTTGTGGAAAACGAAGATTGGGGTGCCTTTTAAGATGTAATAACCAAGTTTGTGGGCAATATAAAAGATCCAAACTTTAAGTAAATCATTGAGTACTGCTGAATTACGGAAATTTAGGCTTTTCCATGAGCTAAAACGTTCACTTTCTAAATTTACATTTGGAATATTTTTCTGAAATTCTGGTTCCATTAGGTAGGGGTCTTCAACCCGTGACCCTTGGCCCGCTGAAGATATTTTAGTGGCTCCACATTTGAATTTAAAAAAATTATTAAAAAATTTTTAAGAAATTTTGATTTCAAGAAAAATTACCTTATCAGCTTATTGTCGTAAAAAATCGTTTTTTTCCTCTTATTCTTGATATTTAAAACATTTTATAAAAATTTTATTGATGTCTGTTATTATTTCGGATAAAAGTTTCGGAAAATGACGAATTTTTCAAAAACTTCACTTTAGCTTATGTAATATGTGTTCCATCTGAACTTCAGTTAGAATTTATAGATTTGCAGTGTGACTCTGCAGTAAAATGCAAGTTTCTTGAAAATCCTGCATTAACTAATTTTTATGCGAAATACGTGACGGAAAGCAAGTATCCAAGAATTCGTAAACATGCAGTCTTCATGTCTTCTATCTTTGGCAGTGCCTACATATATGAACAGTGTTTTAGTAAAATGAAAATCCTAAAATCAATGACAAGAACACGGCTGACAGCAGACTTTGTGAGGAATCGACTTGGCAACACGGATTAACCGGATATTTAAGCTTCAAGCAAAACAATGTCAAATTTTCACATTGAACCAAGTAATACCATCTCCCGCCAGTATGCAAATTTTTAAAAAATTTTTTTTATTGTAAATGCATTTTGTAATATCGTTCTGTACAGTCATCTGTATACTTTTTTTTCATAGTTAAAAAAAGTTGCAAAGCATTTTAATTCGATTTCTGACTTTTGGATTGACTTTTTGGAATCAATGTATACATATACAAATCTGTAACACTATCTCTTCGCTTAGAATCAATTGTAGTCTTGCAAAAGAAGTCCCTTTTTTATATAAATTTTCCGACTACACTATTTTTTTGACAGACACTTGGCTCGCGGATCTTTGTGAATTTATTGATGTGGCTCTCGGGCGTGAAAGGTTGAAGACCCCCTACATTAGTGTGATAAGTGAAAGATTTCATCAAGATATCAAAGAAACGAAAAGGAAGTGTCAAGGAAAATAAACTACGAGTACATCGATGATGGCTGACTACTGCTGTATGTTCATCGAGATAAACCCCATCAAGAAAATAAACGGAAAAGCGCGAATCTGAGCACAGAAACGTCGACACATGAAATAAGATTGTGTATTTCTGGTGCATTGTATTAGCTAAAAAAGAATAAATTCTAGTTAATGAAAGCGTTTTAAGTTTATCACATTTTCGCAAATTTTTGACGTTTTGTAATAATGCTATGTTTTGTAATATGCTAATGTTTTGTAATAGTTTTAAATAATGCTGAACATATGTGACTGTACGAAATCAGAATCTGTTATTTTAGAGTCGAAAAATTGTTTCAAAGTTGTGATTTACGAACATGACTCAACCTAAATGTTGCCGGCTTGTGTAATCCGTCACGGTTTCTCTAATCCCTCTCAGGATTAATGGAGAACAAATTGACGGCACTGCATGTTAGACACTCTTCTTTAGTTCCGTATACTCTGTCGTTAAGAAAAAAATAAGCGAATTAAGATATGTAGTAACCACAAAATCAGTCGTATTCTTCCAATCTATTATTGAGGGGACTTCTAAGTCCGCCACCTGACTTTAAATATTATAAACGAAGGTTATGTAGCTTCAGGGATGTTTGAAACATAAAACTTTTATATACATTAGCAGTTTAGATCTTTATCGTTCTTTGAAACTAGGCATATGCAGTTTGGACATCTTATTTATCAATGCCCTAATTTGAAGAAATAAAAGATTTAAAATCGAAATCATAAATTCAAATGACTTCATAATTTAATCTGAATTTATGATGGAGTTGTATTTCCTTGTCTTTATGGCTTTAAGTTAAATGTTGCTCATGCAGGCGATGTGAAAATGATCTAGAGAAGAAAGGTGAATTAAGTAATGTATTCTATTTATTATTTTGAACAGGATGCCAGGACGAAGCATCAGTTTGTGGTGCACACTTACACTAGTCCCACCTTCTGCGACCATTGCGGATCCCTCCTTTACGGAATCATTCATCAGGGATACAAATGCAAGGGTAAGATTTTATACTGAATTACAGTTGCAGTGGCATATGAATATTATGTTGTAAATTTTAGTCCTCATTTTAGACATTAACAGATTGCCGATGCATATGAAAAATCCAGTGCATTAGTAATGGTTTCAGTATTAACTATCATATTCAATTGTAAATGCATGAAGTTTTTTAGAAATGACTATTTTTATATTGAAACAGAAAGAAATTTTACGTAAGTTGCAGATATGCCACTGCAAATAGAATATCCTTAATGTATTTTTGAAATGAATATTTCTCTTTTTACATATGTTTTAAATAACGTCAGTTATTACAATCATTAATAATTAGTTTTTATTGAAAACATAGTTTAATTTTGTAAATTTCCTAGTGCCGAGTGAACTATTGGTTGTTAAAGCAATTTACCTTCTTATACTAAAACAGTATAAGAAGCAAATAATGTGGTACTTAAAAACGACTCTCAGAATTTTATGAAAAAGTCAGACGAAGTAATCCTGACATATAGCTTACTGCTAGTGATTTCATTTAGATCAATTAAAAATTAGCAAATTTCCCCAACAAAGTTCGCCGCCCACCTTTGGATTCGGTGTCTAGTTTTAAATAATGCTGAACATATGTGACTGTACGAAATCAGAATCTGTTATTTTAGAGTAGGTACTGCAGTGCCATTTCACTTCACTCGGCTTGCCTTATAACCACCGTAACGGCAGCTGCGGAAATTGGCCGAGTTCCCTAATTATTTTTTCCCACTTCATTTCCGTTCAGCATGTTCATGAAAAGCGCAAGAATGAAAGCTGACTTAAATTACAATTTCAATGAGGTGAAAAATGAGATGGAAACAAGTTATTAGTACGTGCGGTACCAAAAGCTGGTAGTTAAGAAGGAGATATATAATACTCAGAGATTTAAATCTGCATGATATTCTTGATCGAAATTGGGATGAGGATAGACAAAGCTGTTCTTTTACCACAGTTCTCAATTTCTTTTCATAACGACAATACTAGATCTGGAAGTTATAGCTAGGATGCTAGGATAAACAAAAGCAACTAAAATCTACGTTAAATACATTTTAGCAATAAGTACTATAATTTTTCTTGTTTCATTAAATTTAGTAAAATTGATCTTTAAAATAATCGTAAAGAGCATAATAGACATTGGAAGTTAAAGGCGTATGAACGTTTTCACAAGGTGTCAATATGATGCCATCACTTTAATTTTAGATTTATTATCAGATACTAATAAAAATTTTTAATTGATCTATTCCACTTAATATAAGCAATAATTTCATTCCTGAAAGGCACGTTATAGTATCACATAGGTTGTTAATGCGGGCAAATCATATGTCTAAGATTATTTAATTATGTATATAATATTTATAATCATATATATTTAACCATACTAATATTATACTTTGAGAAATTATTTCTATCATAAAAGTTATGCAGTATTTCTTTATTTGCTCGAGTTCCCGAAAGATTTACTAACTAATACTAACTAACATATACTATGTTAAACTTTTTAAGTAAAAGGTTTTTATGTCATTATCCAGAGCCAGCAAATGGTGAGGCATTTGTCTCAGGTGAACAGCTAAAAAAGGCACCAAATTAAATGCAAAATTAAATACATCAAAATGTAAATTATGATAGTTAACTTTCAGTTTAAAACGCATCGAAAAGCGCTATTTTAAAATATTATAAAAACAATAAAAAGGTCATTACTTTGAGCACTTGAATACTAGCGTTTTCCCATTAGTCAACAAACCAAATGAAATCAAAAGCTTATAAGACTAGCTAAATTAAGTTACTTTTGTTGGCTAATATTTACCTGAACTGTAAAACGAGTATTCGCTAAGTTCAACTGTATCAGGAACAATACGTAGGAAGGGTGTACATCCTTTTATTCAGCTCAAGAAAAGTTTACAGTCGGCACTCCCGGTGTTTACAGGTCCAGACCAATACTTTTGGCGGCAACTCAAAATAAGAATATAAAATTAAAACTAAGCCTATGTAAAATAATCAGCCAGAGATATTTAGACAGATATATGTTAACGTGTATTTGGCATTTGGTCCTATTACCAACGTAGACTAACCAGCAATTAATATGCACGGCAGTAAAATAGCAAGCTTAAATAAAAGAGAAACAACGTGGTCGAAAGGCAGAACACGCTTTGTCTGAAGTCACTCAGACACCAGTTTAAATAGTATAGCCTACTTCACATAGCGCGCGAGACTGAAATTTCGTTGTGGTTAGGAAGCAAACGCTAAAAACAAAAGCAATAGGAAAGGCTCTTCAAAATAAAATTAACTGTTAAATAAATTCCCACAAACTTAATAAATTATTAACGATGCATTATTAAAATCGAGACCAAAAATCATTATCACATATTTTAGCTCCTTATATCTTTTATATTTACATAAATGTTTCAAATTTATGTAAGACATCAAATGATATAGCATTGCAAATGAGCTGAAATTAATAGCTTCTTTAAGTAAATAAATGTAAAAAGCCTAACAACGAAAACTTTTAATTGTACAAAAAGTTACACGTTTAATACACCGACTAACCTAATATTGAACCCTAAAGAATGCGTTGAGTGCAAAAAAGTTTCATTGTTTTATAATGTGCAACTTGAACTAGTGTCCTTCAGAAAGTTCTCTACAAAAAACCCCTTACGCAAGTAGCTCTTGTATGCTTTGCCGCAGTGTATTAAATGCACAAGTAGATCCATTATCACTTTTATGCAAAATATGTTCTTGAGAAATAGGAAAATTTAGCTAAGATGAGAGAAATGAAAAATGGGGGAAATTTAGCTAAAGATGAGAGAAATGGAAAAGAAAGTTTAATGCATAAGATTCAAAAGAATCAATTGCTAAAAACTCATAAACTTAGCACGTGAATATCCAAACGGTATAAATCCTCTAGGTATTCCATCAGAAATATTTAGTTTTCAAAATTATGCTATTAAAATTATGCTAAAGTTACACGTTTAATACACCGACTAACCTAATATTGAACCCTAAAGAATGCGTTGAGTGCAAAAAAGTTTCATTGTTTTATAATGTGCAACTTGAACTAGTGTCCTTCAGAAAGTTCTCTACAAAAAACCCCTTAGGCAAGTAGCTCTTGTATGCTTTGCCGCAGTGTATTAAATGCACAAGTAGATCCATTATCACTTTTATGCTTGTATGCTTTGCCGCAGTGTATTAAATGCACAAGTAGATCCATTATCACTTTTATAACTCCACTAAAGTATGAGCGGTTCTTTAAAAAAAAGATTGCGGAATGTAGTTTAATTCGATTACATATGAATTCGGAAGTAGTATTAAGTATATTTTTTATATTGGCAGCTTTTAGTGAAAGATACTTCAGCAAACCCAAAATAAAAATACAAAAATTTTATGCGAAATGTTCCTTGCTTAAAGCAAAACTTTCAAATATCACTGTTTTATTTATAGAAAATAAATAATCAAATAGATTACGGAAATTATTTTTGTTAATTTTACTTCTTTAAAAGCAAGAAAAATTAAATTGCAAACAAAAGCTTGAATATTAGTGCAATACTTTGTATATTAATTGTAGTGTTATTTATGTTTTTTCAATGTAATTTTATTATTTATTAAAAAGGTACTATTTAATGTGTTCATTTAAAGGTTATAAAATTATTACATGTTATTTTCTGAATACATTAAGTTACAATTAAAACTGATTATTATACTAAAATCACAGCATAGTTCTTATAATCTTTATTAATGTAGAAATTAAACTAGAAGTATACAGATACTGTTGATTTAATTATGTATAGGGCGCGTATTTATCTTTGTGTCTCAGATGAAAAAATAACTAGGCACGGCACTTGTCGTTTAAGATTTCTAATTTATGAAAACTTTTAAAATAGCTTTCATTTTAGTTACATGTTCTTGTTATAGAAATGTTAAAATATTTGATTTTAAAATTTACATTCAGTATTTAGCTCGTTTTATAAATTAGTTTCACAATCAATGAATGGGTATTCATTTCTTCTTGCATAATTTATTTTAAGTCAAAAGCATATGTCTATTATAGAAACCATATTTTTGCTGAAAATACAGGGTGTCCATCAAGAGCATCTAAAACTCTGTACAGCAAGATTCCTCATCTGAAATACATAAAAAAAGTTCAGAAAACTGTACCTGTATGTACTACAGTTTTCATAATAAATGCGAAGGAAATATATGACATCACATCTGGTGCAAGAAAAAGGCTTCACTGGAAACATCAACAGCGGTATTTGCATAAGTTTACATAGGAAGGTATCCAAGATGTCCACCGCGCATATCGAAACATGCATGCGTGCACCGTACAATGACGTCAAGTCATCGTTTGATTCGTATTTTGAAAGCTGCATCTAATAACTACTTTGCATAATGATAATATATTCCTTTCGTGAATTTTGAGACATGTACTCAACGTAATGATAATGTTTTACAAACTGCTGGGGAGCATGTCCGTTGCTATTCATCACGCTGTTCTCCCGATGCTGTTTTGTTGACAGAGTGATAAATACCGAAAGCGTACACCCGACACGTAATCTCCACAATGTTATTGGAAAAATGCAAGGCGGGCTTATGCTAGTACAGAAGATACAATACTTTGGCGGGTGGAATAAGCTCCAGAGCTGAGCACACGCGCACCAGTCAGGAAGCTGAATGCGTGTAGCAGTACTATGCATATGCTGTTACAATCAGAGGTATACCGTTTTGAGATGCAACCGTGCAATATCTACACCCAGATGACTATCGGCGATGCACTGAGTTTTGTGAATGGCTTTTCCAACAACCTGAAGCAGATAATGTTTTCATTGCAGGTATTTTGTGGACGAATGAAGTCTGCATCACACATGATAAGGTTTTCAACAGTCACAACAGCCATATATGGTCAGAATCCAATTCTCATGCAATCCGCCCGCAGAGATATAAGATGGTCTGCAAATTTGTGGACCGGCATAGTAGGCAATCGCATAATTGGGTCACATCTGCTATCTGAACGGCACATGGGCCAATCATAATTGGTTAGTTTGTTTGTTTGTGGGAAGCAGCCCACCCACCGCACCACAAGTAGCCCCAGTAACTTAATTAAGCGTTCCATTTACAGGTACAAAAGCACATCCACACAGCACGCACACTAAATTATTAGAATCCTCACTATTGATCGATTATTATTGATATTATTCGTAAACTTTCTTCATAGACTTGTTGCCTTGCCAAAATATGATATGAACTCCACGTCGAAAGTTCCATTTATGACAAAATATTTATTTATATCTTTTAAAAGTGGGAAGATCTCCCTGAAGTGTTTATCATCTCCAGTTTAATTGCAACAGCCTCACAGTTTTGAAGATATAATTTTTTAGAGTTAGTAGAAAGATGGCCATGATCTGTTAAAAGTTGATTTAAATCTATGTCACGATATACTTGTCTTTTTTATTTTTTACAGTGGCATATAGTTTTTTATTTTTGTTCAATTTCCATTTTCCTTTCCATAATTTGTAGGTATAATTTTTCATAAGTATTGCGGTCTTCCTCTTCTATCTATGCATCTTAATGATTTCAGTGGCATTTTGTGTAATAGGCTCTCTGGCCAATGCGTCAACCCTGTCACTTTCAATAAAATATACATCTACGTTTACTCAGTTCAGATTAATTGCATGCCTCCCAGGATTTCGAAATAATTTTCTTTTATATCTAATATCAGTTCGTTCGTCTGGTTCAGGTAAGATAGTGTCATAAAATTAATAAACTATCTGTATATTTAGATTCAGACGGTTGCGTTACGTTGAGGATATCTATTTTTCTTCGTGCACTGTTTCGAAGCAGCTTTTCAAGACCCGATAATTCGCATCTTTGGTCTCCGATATCTTTTGGCTTTCATGCGCTTCGACAGCCGGGAATGAGCTGGACTGGTGTTACATCATATTGGTTTGCTAAAGTTGGCAAAATTGATATTAAGGATTTTGAACTTCGTGCAGAAATAGTTAGTGCAACATGCAACTGCATTCTTTCCTTCAGAGTCTGATTGATTTTGAAAACTCACAAGGAGATGGCTGATTCTATTGAGACTTATCGAGGGGGGATATTTGTAACGAAGTTCTACTGTGAGTCGTCACCGAATTGCTTTTATATACTATAGTTTTATTATTAAGTGAGGGTAATTTTATTTTACCTTAATTAATTCGCAGAAATGACATTTAAAATTTTAACTGAGGAAAAATGGATTGTGCTTAAGTGATTTTAAAAATGTACATATATAAAAAGTATAATTCGGTTAATTATAAAGTCATGGAAAAGGATTTCTAACGTGCAAGCTAAGTATTGGAATGCTATGCCTCAGAAACAATTCAGTATATGATATTTTAAGGGTTAATCCAAATGAAATTTAATTAAGTGAAATAAAAGCAAACACCTATTTAAGTATAAAAAATATTCTACAGTACTTTAAAATAACCATATATTATGTTTAAGATGGTAATCCATTTTTGATATAAATTACATTCGTAATAAAAATGATTTTTACTATTATTTAACTAATAGATGGATAGTCTGGCCAGACATTGTAATTTACGGTAACAGATGATTAATTAATGCGTTGTAATTGCAAATTCTTGTTTATATGATGCATAATTATTTTTTTTCTTCTCCTTTAGCCTGTGATATGAACGTTCACAAACGATGCCAAGAGAGCGTTCCTAATCTTTGCGGTTGTGATCATACAGAAAGGAGAGGGAGGATAGAGCTCAAAGTTTCGGCTATCAATAACAAACTTGTAGTTGAAGGTGAGAAATTTTGGTTATTAAACGAAAGTGCAGTAAACTACATGTTGCAAGAAGGATGTCAATAGGACATGCCTTAGAAAAATAATTTGTTATTCAATTTTCTCTTTAAACTATGAGATGTTTTACATGCTTATTGTCTTGTGAACGTTATCAAAAGCAACCTCGTAAAACAAACTATTCACCTGAGGTTGCTTGTAATACTCAGCAAATACTCATAAAAGTTACCTCCATTTTCTACTATAAAAAAGAGCGTATTTTTCATTATTATTTTAACTTTATTCTCATATTGCAGTAACTTTCGTCTGTAATATGAGAGGATGTTTTTACTTTAAAATACCAGTAATAAAACGTAGTCGCTTTTAAAAACATTCAAACTCAAAAGAAATGTCAAAGTAACTTCCTACCTCATTCTTCATCTTTAAAGAATCATATTTACAGTAGGACCTCTCAGAACTAATGCTCCGCGTTAAGGTCCCCTGCCAAAAATATTTTTCATAAAGAATGAAATCCCGCGTTATGAACCACACATATGGCGAAACCAGGTTGTTCTTGGAAAAAGGGCCTAACTGAACTTGCGTAGGAAGAAAAGAAAAAATTTGGCTGGACACAGTATTTTGATTGGTCGACACAATAGCCGTTGGGTGGCTGTGCTCAAGATGGTTAACGGATAGAGATGTTATCTGGTGGCTAATTGGAGACAGACCAGTGCATTTTCTATTTTTACCTCTATCTCTAATCCACACTTTTAAGTAAGAATCTGAAGTTGAAACCCTCATTAGTTTACCAATCAGGGAATCCCAAAGGTTTTAAAAAAACTTTTAACAGAAACAAAGACTTTAAAAAACAGTGCTTTTTTCTGTAGAGATAGAAACGAAAAGCTTGAATCATCATTTCATACAATCAGATTAAAAACGTGGATAGTGGATTCCTTCGCTTGTATTATATATCGAAAGTTATTTAGTAAAACTTTTATCGCTGAAAGCTGTGTTTTAACAATGCTGCGTCTACCTGAAAGACCTGTAAAAGCAACTGGAGTTTACTTATGTCTTTCTGAAGCTCCAGTATAGATCACCCAACAAAACGCTCTTCTTCAGCTGGTGGATGATCAGCAGAACACGTTGATTAACACGCATAAAAACTGTTCCCGAGACCTCTATTTAGTAGGTACTTTGAAATCTATCAATTGTCATCTGACACGAAAGTTAAAAACTATTTGAAGGAAATATAGATATTGTGAAAATCATCAGATTGGTTTTGGCCCTGTATACGTGAACTTGTTGATAATCACAATGGTGCAGTCATGACATCCATAACATCCATATTTCGCTATCTTTTTGCATTTGAAATGCAAATAAAACCTTTGTTGCATTTTAAAGCGATAAGTATAATCTTATGTTACTTATGTTTTGCAGTTAAATCTAAGATATCAAACTAAAGGACTAAATAAAAGTCTGCTTAAATGAAATAATTTCATGTTATTGCTGTGTAGTGAAGTTATGAAGCTATTATAGGGTTATTACAAATTAGATAGCTGGATATAAGCATGAGTTTTATATTTTTTGAAATGCGTCGAGAAAAAATAAATCTGTTCTAAAGAAAGTATTTGGTTTCTATTGCTTTGTTTAGATCTTATTATATAAATATCCTTTGTTTGTATCACTGGCTTAAAATAAGAAAAAATTAATTTCTATTCACCTCAAATATAATAGAAACCGATATTGCAACAAATTCATATTATTTCGTATATTAATATAAAATATATGGCATTAAATTACTTATGAATCAAGCGATTTATGTGGAGATCAAAGGCAATAACAGATATAGAATGTTTTCCAAAATGAAGTTTGGACTTACTATTCACAAATTTAAAGCTTGAACTTAAAAATATTATTATAAAATAGTATATATTGTTAAACTTTCAAAGGTATATATTTGAATTCATTGAGCCACCAACATAAGAAATATTGGTAATCTAGCATACGTTTGAAAAATTCCAAGAAAAGTGCCTTAGCTTATACTTCGAAGTATAGCTCATGTCCTGAACGTTACTTAGCTTCTCCATTTCATGCAACTCTCCTTACAAATTATCTTCAATATCCGTCTCCATTTTGACATAGACGATAAAGGCAAATGCAATATTTCATCTCAAATATACTGTTTTACGTATTTCATGTAGAAATTAGAAACGTAATTTACGTAGAAATGTAAAAATAATACATTTTGTAATATTACTATTGCCCTTTTATTTTGATTCTGTATAATACCCCAAATTGTAACATTTATATACAGAATTTTTTTCTTGCAGTAAGACAAGCTAGAAATCTCATACCTATGGATCCAAATGGTCTGTCAGATCCTTACGTTAAAATGAAGTTAGTTCCAGATACGGGCGAGTCCATGAAAAGGAAAACCAAGACAATCAAAGCTAACTTAAATCCTGTTTGGGGTGAAACGCTATCTTTGTAAGTATTAAAACAAGTTGCAGAAATGTTTTTCATGAAATATCTAAAATACTATGCAAGCGTTAAAATCAAGAGTTTTCAACTTATTTATACATAAAAGTCTTTAGGCTAACAAAAAAAAAAAAAAAAAAAAAAAAAAAAAAAATCCAAAATTCTGCAAAATTCGACCCTAGACTGACGTTATTTTCAGAAAAGTTGATATGTTGAATAAACGGAGCTCCTACTGTTGCCTTTATTATTATTTATTTATTTTATACCGTCTAGTTTTATAATATATTTTCAGTTTTTAAAACCAAAGCCATAATTTATTACAACAGGTAAATGTGATAAATGATAATTATAAGATCTGACTCTCTTAGCTATCATAAAGTAAAATGGATCACAGTAGGAAACCTGGCGACTTCTTATAAGCGTGAATAATACCAGCACAGAAGAAGGGTAAAATAAACCCTTTATTATTTGTCAAACTCTTAACACAAACGCACGTACTGCGTGCTTACACCAATAACGACGACTTGCAGTGGGCTTAATAATTTCAGAATAAATTCGAAGATAAAGATGTAGTGCTGGACGAACAAATTAATTTAAGGCTGACTAGGCTGACTCAACAACCTACTCGGCGATATACTTATTAACTGGCCGAAAAGGCATAACAGTAACTCGGTGTAACAGCAAGAACAAAATAGGAACGTGGGCTGGCTAGCGAAATCACGCTCTGAATAAACTTCTTGTTTCGTTTGATTTTATACTCACTTCACTTCATTTGTGGCAGCAAAATTTAACTAAGAAGTAAAACTCAGATTAACTTTCTCATTTATATTTACAATACAAGCGTAGACTATATATACTTTATAGTACAAATGCACATATAGAAAATATGTTAATATGTTGGAATGCTGATTACGAAATCATTACCTTGAACATTCGACCGTTCCCGCCAAAATCCAGTCTCCAACTAACTCGTTTTCTCCACCTAGAAAGCGCTACTTACTTTCAGAATTAAAGTTTTGGAGGACCCAGGCACTACAGGAAAATTATTTAAAATCTATCATAACTGCAAGCTTCTACCATTTCGTGTTTCAATATCTATTATAATAATCGCAATCAACGTTCCTAAATCATCATTATATATATGTACTTATTTTAAGTTTTGCCTAAGTAGCTCTGCCATTTGGTTCTTGATGCGGTATAAGGAAGCCCTAAGCGATTTCTAGTTGACAATAAGTGTAGTTGGCATTTAAAGACTTTGTGTTATAAGTCGCGTTTATATTAAAGAGCATTTGAAAAATCAACATTAAATTCCTATTTTGCAAAATTTAATATTATTGCGTATTTTATTGCTAAAAATTTCATTTTAATAAATTGTTGCTATATAATTAAGAAATGCTTATCAAAAATATTGTTTTTTCTAATTGAATATAAAATTAAACACTTTCATAAACGTAGCAAACATACTAAGAATATGGTGTGGTGTAATAATATAATGAATTATAACAAAATAAGTTGTAATAATACAGCTTAAACGCTGTATATTTTATTTTAAACGCTATTTTAATGTGGCTTAAAACACTATTTTAATCAGTGTGTTTTCTATGAAAGAAAAATAAATGGAAAAAGTAAAAAATGAAAAGAGACAGTTAAAACCATTCCAGAGTTAAAATTCTATTTTCGAAGGAGCAAAATAAGAAAATTCAAATGAAAGCTTTAGCGGTTCCATAACTTGATGATTAAGTGTATCCTAGATATTCTAAGTATATTCTCAAGGCTGAGCCTAAACTCTAAAGACCACGTATATCAAACAAATAGGATGTATACTAAGCAGTTAAATATATGTTACAAATAGAAAGTTTTTCATTATAGCGACTTAAAACCCGAGGACAAAGATCGTCGATTGTTAATTGAAGTATGGGATTGGGATAGAACGTCCCGGAATGACTTTATGGGATCGCTGTCCTTTGGAATTTCCGAAATTATGAAAAGCCCAGCCGAAGGATGGTTTAAATTGCTCACTGCTGAAGAAGGAGAATTCTATAACGTTCCAGTTCCGCCAGAAGACAAAGATATCTCTGAGCTCAAAACACAGATGAAGGTAAGCTGTTTGTTATTATTCATATTTAGATCATTACTCTTCTTTTTCCATTAACTTGTAATTTTCAAACGAGAATTGCATGTTAATTATGACGATAACATGTAACATGTTAAACGAAAATTAAACGTAAAATATTTTACCTTTGTAATGTATAGATTTCTATTGTTTTTGTTTATTGACGGTAATAAGATAACATAATTTTTACATCGAATCAAAAACATTTTCAAACATCTCAGTTACGGAAGGTTATGCAGTTTTAAATATGATTAATAATTATAATTTTGAATTATTATGAGACAGGGATAAATATAAAATAAAGGTAAGAAAGTATAATTTTAAGTGTTAGTATTGAAAATGATATAGAACTTTATTTTTGGATATCGAAAATAGAAACTATTAAGAATGTAATATTGATATCTTAAGAATACTATTAAGAATGTAATAATAAACATAAAAATTAAAATGATTTAAGAAATTAAATAATTACAATAAAATTGAAAATAGGGAAAATAAATAAAATGTCATATATATAGAGATGTATATATTTACGTGATATTGATGAATGATTGTTAGTGAATATCTGTTAGATTATGTTACACAAAGCATCAGACGTGGTTAAGAATCATTCCTTTTTTTAAGCTCTGAACACCCAGGATTTGGCGATTGGGTCCCCTAAAAACCCCAGTCGCCCTTTAAAAGCGGAGTATATAAGGTATTTCTCCCGCCTTCTTATCATGCCTTCGTAGTGTGGTGGTCTGCACCATGGGCGCGTATTCCAGAGGTCCATGATTCGATTTCCGGTGAAAGCGTTGCTCATTTTTCACTTCTTCTGCTTCCCCCCCAAAAAAAAAAAAAAAAAAAAAAAAAAAATACCTAATGTCTTTACAAGGTTGGAATTTTGCTTTGAATATTTTTAACCTTATCCTTCTCTATCTCTCTCTATATACACATATGTTACAACTCTCTATATATGTTACTCTATATATAAATATGTTATATGCAACGTTTTTGTGAATTGTACTCGCTACTAATACATAAGCTATATTACAATTTAGTAATTTCGCAAGATATTAAAAATACACATTTTCTTTCTAATTTCTTTTTTTTTTCATATGAGGTTTAAATTACAGGAAAAGAGACACTAAATTTTCCTAATATTGAATACAATATTATTATATTTACTCCTTTAAAAACTGCATTTTATGAATTAGTTTTCATTTAAATTACATTTTAGTTTGTATTATCTGTGTGTGTTTTATCTTTTTAGTCGAGAATCTCAATGTCTACGAAGAAATCAGAAAAGATCTCTGCGATTACTGACATTCCACATAATATGGGCAAGCAAGATGTGATCAGGGCTTCCGATTTTAATTTCATCATGGTCCTAGGAAAGGGCAGTTTCGGTAAGGTAAGCTTCACTCTAGCAATATTTTTATCAAAGTTTATTATAATTTTAATTTTAGATTGTTGGAATGAATTGCGGTCACTAGTTAATCAATTATTATTTATGAAAGGATTAATTTATGATTATTATGAAATGGTTAATTATTAATGAAAGGAAGTTTTTAATGAGGGTTTTAAGACATTAAAACATTAGGCTAATGATTAATTATAATGCAGGAAATATTAATTAAGTTTTGAAAAATTAGGTTAATTAATTTTAAGAGAAAAATATCTGTCTTAGAAGTTTTTAATATGTTTATGATGTATTGGTAACTCATGATAAGATTAAATGTAATTTTCCTAATGTTATCGGTGGCTCACAGTTGGTCAGCAAGAGAAAATCGCTGAGCAATGGCAGTTTTATCCGGCTCAAATTTCAGCGAATAGGCTGGTTGCATGTGTGCCTTCATGATTTAAAGCATATGGAGCATAAATATGAGCCAGTAGTCCTCCACGAAAGTATCCTTTCCTTTTGATACATATCTCTCGCGTCTTGTACCATAACTTGAAAGACAAAAAAGCAAATTTAATTTGAAAACAAAAACTCTTTTACATAATCCTCATATAAACTCTTTTACATAATCCTCACATAAACTCTTTTACATAATCCTCACATAAACTCTTTTACATAATCCTCACAGTTTGTACCATAATTGACAAAACATATAAACAAATCTAATTTGTAAATAAAACTCTTTTTTAAAAATAAGAACTCTTCTTTAATACACATAACACGTAGTTTTCAAAGTTGATGGGTTGTGGTCATTGCAGAAGATTTAATCATTTGCGGTCAATGAAATTAATGATTCTGCGCATCAGAAGAGTTGATATTTTAACAGAGTTAATGAGTTACTGCATTATGAACGCTGATGATAAGTTTTAATAGTAAAGGACGTGGTTATTTTTAATGTTTGATGTAAGCGATCAGGTGCGATTGTGTAAAACATTATGTAAAAATTCCATTTAAATCTATCAAATTTATTTCGTTAGTCTACGAACATTTTGATTATTCTTCGTAAGTTCGATATGAGCTTTGATATTTTGATACTTATGAGCTGATAAGTTGCGCGTCAAAACTTTCTTCCGTTTAATGTTTATTGGATTTGTCAAAACAAAGCGAGAGAATTCTATGTATTTTGATTTTTGATTTTAATGTCAGATCTAACATTCAGTTACTTTTAATTCTAGTCCGATGTAAAGCTATGCTTACTTAGAGAACTATTACACAGTTGCTGTTGACTTCCTCTTCCCTACAGCGGCAAATTTCGAAAAAGATTAGAAATATTTTTCGAAATTTGGAAAATAAAAGAACTGAGTAAAAATTCGGTTCCTGATTTCAGTAATTAGTTTCAATTTGCAAACAGCTTAAATTTATCAAAATAATTTTATGCCCAGTGAATCACAATATTTCAATTCTGAAGTCAAAATACTGTCAAGACAAAAAATTTGAATTCGTCTTAAAGTTTTATTAAACCGATAGTACACAACTTGACTCATATAAAAAATATGCGCAGATAATATTCAGTATGCAAACATAAGTGAATATTCTTAAAATTCTTCTCCTATTTATATTTGCCCACCAGCGGCCGAGCGGTAAAGACGCTGAACACTGGTAGTTCGGTCCGAGGTTAGAATCCCGCGAACGGGCTGGCTGCATGGGCGTTTTCGTGGTTTTCCCCATGTGTAAGGTGTATACGAGCCAGTTTCCCTTAGAAAGTCCTCCACGAAGGCATCCCTCCCTTTAGGCAGATAGCCCCCGTGTGCTTTGCCATAATTGAATAACCCAACCCAAACCCTATTTATATTTATTCTTAATAATATAAGAATATAAGTGAATATTCTTAAAATTCTACTGTTCTCCTATTTTTATTTTTGTTGCAGAAAAATTAATTCACCCGAATTTATTATTTATAATTACATATTCCTTATAACAGGTAAAAATTATTAAAATTTACCATTACCTGTTCTTATAACAGGTTCTTAAAAATAATAGTTTTTAATAATATAGTTTTTTATATTATACATATTTCTTTAAGTGTGTTAAATGGAGAAAGGGGTCAGAAATATTGTAGTATTATGTACAATAATTATAGTAGTATTACGTACTACTATCAGCAGTTTTTGACAAAAATTTGTGTATTTATTCAGTTATTTGCCGTCGCTTGTTTCAAATGTTTTCACCTGTTACAAAACAAAATAATTTCTATACTTTCAACTTATTTTCAAATAAAAAAATAAATTGAGAAATAAAGAAACACAAAATAATGAGCAATTTCAATTTTTACCAAGTCAGACATGAAAATTAGAAGTCGGGTTAATTAGATTTACAAGTCGAAATAACTTGTAAATCTAAATTTATTACGTTATAACCTCGATATATCATTCTTTGGATGTATGAATCTTTCGCCATTTCTATTCCCGAATGAGTGTCGCTGTGAATAATATTTCTCGCATCCAGGTTTCTTCAAACTATAGTTTTTTGGACTAATTATTTGTAAGTTAGGATTCTGTAGCAATATGAAAACACATTATTTAATAGAAACATTTTGATTCCTTTAAAAAAATAACTGAAGCGAAGTACATATTAATCAGTAGCGCCACTTCATTGGACTATGAAATGTGGCAGTACTGTTCATGCTGTAACGCTTCACACGTATTGAGTTCAGCGTCCTCGTTATTTCGTAATGTCCTTTCGTAAAGTTGCTTCGTTGCAAGCTAAATTTTCATCATTTTATCCTGCTAGTTTTAAGGTTAGTTTTCAGTATGAGTTTTTAAGATGTATAGAGGAAGGAGAAAAAAATGAGAAAGAGATAGTGCTGACCTTCATCTAGATTTACGAATTTTTAAAAAAAGAAAAAGTATTTTTATGAGCAAACTGGAAAGTGATGCAAGATATGAACACATTTTAAGCAATGAAAAATATTTTTCGCTGAAGCAAAATTCAGCTAAGAATAATATTTACGATTTTGTTGTTAAAAATATTTTTAGTATAGTGTACTCATGTTGAAAGCAATAAATGTTATTTGTTCACAGTATGTCACTAATTTACAATGTTTTACAGATTAAGCGTTTTCCCGTATTCTTATTTTTTTGTTCCGTCTTCTTAAAAATGATGTATCAAGCCTGTGTAATTTATAATACGATAATAATTTCTAGCGTTTTTTGTTCAAATGGTTTCTTCGTGGGAAAGGGGTATTATGTACATGAAAAATGTATTTCTTCGTGGGAAAGGTAAACATGAGTAATGTAATGATTTTAGCACGAAGTGCGACAATTAACCATAAAAATATAGCTTGCTATAAATCTTTAAAAATAAGTGTCTAAGGGTTTAAATGTGATTAAGTTCATTAGTAAAAGTTTTCTGTAAAATATGGCACTAAAGTTGTGGAAAGAAGAATACTGCATAATTGAATAAGGAAGATGACAACGTGAAATTTATAATTAGCAAAAACAGAAAGCAATATTAGATTGACATAGGTGTTAAACAATACTTTATTGATTTCTAGGGTGATTAATGAATCAGGAGCAAATATCTTTTGCTTCTGAGGAAGAGGGTTTTATGTCGATCTCTTTTGATATCAATAAACGCATTAAAAATCTATATCAGTCAAAACATTGGTTAAAGTAAAATCTGCGCATAAGTACCTTTTTTGTGGAAACATGAACTTTGTCCACACAATGTGTGGAGAGAATTGTTTATGGCGGATAGAAAAGGTGTAAGAAAGGTTAAAAAAATGTTATCTTTTAATGGAGACGTCACTTAACAATTATCAGGTGTTGCTAAATAGTGTGCAATTTTAATGCATTTGGATGCTGGCAAGAATTTACCTAATTTTCCAGTTTCTTCCCAATTGCGTTTAAACTATTTCAAATTTTGTCAGCTAGTAATAAATCAAAATTCACTTGGCTTGAATTTATTGTTTACTGTTTGAAATCTTTCAAGGACAGTTTAACTTTGGTAGAGATGTTTATGAGCAGACTTTTTTCAGTTGGCTTTTATATTTGACGTGGAGACCAAAACTTCCGTCTTTAGCAGTTCTTTTCGTCCCAAAAATTAAAGAGGAAAACATGATGAAATAAAATGTTTGTTTTATTTCGATTATGGCGAATCACTCTAGGGCTATTTGTCTTAAGAAAGGAATCCTTTGTAAAATTTTTCTGATGAAAACTGGATTATACCCTCGCTACATATTAAGAAATCCGCGAAAACGCCCATGCAACCAGCACGTTCTCCTACAAACGAACCTAGCTTGAACTACTAGTATTTTACGGTTAGGCTGCTAATGAGCAAATAAAATAGCACACTACGGACACATTTCAAAATATACAATTAATTTGTAAATAAATTAAATATATGCAAACTTTTAAGAGGTTTTTCGTTTTTTTAGTAAAAGACCTAAAAATGAATTCCTTTCATACATGTATATGGGTTTGCCTATAAATGCCAGAGAAAAAATTAATCATAGTGTGAAAAATTATTACATATTATTAGTATTATTATTTGTGAAAACAGTTTATTTTTATGGCAGTTGAAAAAGGATAATACTATTTCACCACTCTGATATTTTAGTGAAGCACATGGTGAAAACTTTGAAGCAAAACTTAGCTTATAGCATGTACGAAAAACTGTTATAAAAGAATCAACTAAAAAGATGCAGTTGACTTAAATTAAGTTCAGAAAAGGGCTAAATAAGAATTTGGTTTTGTAACAAGAACAGATGCAGGAAGATTAAAATACATACCGAATATTGGAATGCATTTTATTTTCATGTTATTATTTTTAATGTCAACCTTTTATCAATAACTGGTTTAAGCAATAATAAATTTATATATGAACTGGGCAAAAAATTCGAAAAACAATAGACGAAAAGAATTAATATTTATAACGATTAAATTGTCAGTGAAGTAACATAAGAGATAATTTGAAATCAATAAATACTAAAATCAGTGCTATTAAAATCAATCGTTACTGATTACTCAACAGTACGATCTCTTCTATCAGAAACATTAAAATAAATAACGAAAATGTGCTGACTTTTAGGATATTTAGAAGAAGCTAAGATTTCAAACTCAGTGCGTTTGGTCGCCAGTTTAAAAAATATGACTGAGACTTACTAAATAGCAAATCGAACTGATATTTTAAGAAACGTGTTTTATTTTTCAGAAATTAAAGTTTTATTATTCATAAGAACTATTCTATAGTACTGAATCTTGACGGGAGTCTATTTTTTACGCTGGTTAACGAATAATCAGTATTAAAAGTATATTTCCTAAGAAAACTTGCAATCTTAAGTTTCGTCTAACTTACAAATTAAAAAATATTTTTACATATTTATCACAGATCACGCTTGTAACAAATAGAGTTAACCGAGACTTTTAAGTATTAAAAAATGATTTACCAGTTTATTTATTTTCAGCAATTGATTTCTATCTAATAAAGACAAAAAATAAGTAAAAATAAGAATTACGTAAAAATAAAGAATAAATAATTAATGACTTTGATTCATAAGTACAACACAGTTCTTTTCTAAATTAAAATTTTGCTTTTTTTCTATAAGCATCATAAAAGTTTCAGTTTCGTAGATTAGGCTGTCTATAAACATATCTAAGACAGTGAGTCAAAATAAACTGCAGGCACACACAAATAAATAGCAAAAGAAAACAACCTTAAAAATGAAATTTTCGAAAATCACAAAATAATGATAAACAAAGAGTAGATAGATAAAATTGCAGTTAGAAAGTCCCACTTTGAAAAAAAGTCTAGGAAAATGAAGTTGAATGTAATGGAAGAGGTTGAAGGTAATATGTTACATTATGGAGTTATCATAACCACAAGTAGGTGAATCTGTGGGTGTACTGATTGGCTGTTGCAAGAGTGAGAAAACTCTGACTAAACATGATACTTTTTTCTATAACTTAATTTTCATCTCCAAAAGACAAAGTTGTTGTTAAGAAGTTAATGGTCTGTTACATTCCTTTTTTTTTTTCTTCTTTTTCTAGACATAGACAGGCAAATTTGATTTTGAGTCATCTTTTGTTAATTCAGCAACTAATTAATTTTTCAGAAATTTCGGAGAGACTGCTAACCTGTTTTTGCCGAATGTACAATTGCGTGTTCCGTTTAATAAGTATAATATATTTCGAATGTGTTCAAATAATGGATAATGAACTTTTCTATTGAATATACTTTGCTGGGCATTAAAATTGTTTAAAGCCATTGTGGAAAAGCAAATAACAGAATCGTATTTATTCTACATATAATAGCAGGAAGACATGATTAAATTTGCAGATGGCTCGGTGTGCGCAGCATGCAGAATTCAGTACACAGAGCTGCCACCTCTGGCAGCAGCAATGCCTGTGAGTCGGCTCCGAATAGAGCTGAGTTTGGATGAATGATTCCCGTACGTTATTCTATGCGGCTTCAAATCTATGTCAAAGTTCGTCAGTCGTAGTATTTGGCGAGTGGTCATGGGCAGTCTGATGCTAATCCCTGGCCAAATTTCTCAATCGGGAAGAGATCTGAAGAACAGGTTGGCCAGGGCAACAGTAGAATGCCCCATGTATTAAGGAAGGTCAAGAGGGCACGGATAGCATGCGGAAGTGGATTATTAATTAAAGATGGCATTATTTAGGCCTTGAAGATAGGGAGCAACAATGTGCCTTGACACGTCAGAAATTTAGCAGCGACTGTCCACATTTTCGGCTATGCGAAAAAGAGGTAACAGGGGACGTTCCAACAGCCCCCCATATCAACACCATAGATTAGGGGTTATCAACCGGTGATACGCGTACCACTGGTGGTACGCAAGAAAAAAATAGGTGGTACGCAAAGAAACAAAGTATTTTTAACTGTTAAATTCAAAAATTAAAAACTAACATCTTGATTGAGTTTTTTCTCTAACACTTGTAAATTTATGCGATCTGAGCTTTTTTCAAGAAAGGTGGTGGTAGTAGTACTTCATAGTGGTGGTACTAAAGGTTTTCAATTTTTGTTTAAGTGGTACACGTTAGTCAAACGGTTGAGAATTGCTGCCATAGATGATGCGTCCGATGAACTGATGCAGGCTGACAACATTCGTTCTTCTCGTTGTCTCCATACATGGACATTTCTATCATGATGTTGTACGCGGAACTGAGATTCGTCTGAAATGATGATGTGGTGCCACTGTTGTGTCTAATGTTATTGTTCCTTCCACCTCTGTAGGCGAACCTCTCTCTGCTGCGGCTTCCCAATCGTCGCCGTGCTGAGAACTTGTGGTGTTGCAGAAGTAGTCGCACTGTCCGTGCGACGACATGTATCGCACTTGTAGTCCTGTTTACGAGCCCAGTTCATGACTCAGGGTACACGACTTAGTTGTACGATACCGTAAGACCGAGAGGGCAACAAGTGTCTCGAGCGTTTATGGCCCGGACTGCTGAGATCCTGCATTTCGTTTAATATGGTGCTTGTGGACCCATCGATGCTATATGCGCCTAACAGTCATAAAAGTTCGACTAGTACGAGCAGCAATGGGGAGGAATGATAAACCGCAGTCTCGATCCGTCCTGCCTATGTCGAATTTCGACAAGTTTATTTTTCTATGAGGCCTTTACGCAAACAACTAACCTGCAAATGCGATTTCTAAAGGCGAAACCCGCTGTACAATATTCTCGTTTAAGAACAATGTAGATAGCGTTACTTATACCTGCTAATGTGCTGGATATTCCATATCCATATCCCAGTGTTCATAGTACTATATACTGGGATCAATTCCATATCCCAGTGTATAGTAGGTTTCATGCAAATTTGCCGTTTTTGTTTATAGTGTAGCAACTTTAATGGCCAGCAGCAGTATACAGAGCATTTATCTGCAAATTGATAAACTGTAAGGAAACAAAGCTTTGTAGTTTAACTGTAATTAATGGTTTTTAGTGAGCTTGAGATCAGTAATATCTCAAGCACAAAAGTTAATGCATTTAAATTACAAGGATTTTGTTCTTTTCTTTTTTTAAAAATAATTCGTAGGTAATGCTTGCGGAGCGCAAAGGTACAGATGAATTGTATGCTATTAAAATACTAAAGAAAGACATCATTATTCAAGACGATGATGTAGAATGTGCAATGGTGGAGAAAAGAGTACTTGCCCTTGCCAATAAACCTCCTTTTCTGGTGCAACTTCATTCATGCTTCCAAACGATGGTAACTAATTCTTTCAATTGCCCTTACCATTAGTCAAAGTATTAATTAATAAATAAGCACTTTCTCCCAGAAATTAAGAAATTTTTGCATCGCTATGTTGAAATCATTACATCAGTCTGTGCTTAATTGTTTAGCATATTCAAATTCTGTGTAAATTGACATAAGATTATGAAATTTTTAACTTTGTGGTATTTTTCCCAAACAAGCTTGAGATACTGATTCAGAAGTCAAACAACAAAAATCAGCGTTAATTCACAAAATTTTCACAGGACTAGTTTCGATGGTTTTACCGAACCATCATCTTCAGCTGCAAAACCGCAAATGAACAAGATAGGAAATAATGTTTAGATAAGATAAGAAAGCCTGGACAAGAATAAGCAAGTGGCGCCATCTGTTGGCGAAACCAGAACTAAAACATAATTTCTCTAAAAGCCGAAGGCAAATTTGGATTGGAATTAGGATCGTTAACTAGAACAGAAAGATTTTTATGAATGTGAAATGCCTCTAGAAAATCCAGTTCTCCAATGGAAGATGTTTTTTGAATAATTTTGGCAGCAGAAAAAAATTGAAAGTGTGATTTTCGGACCAACAATGTTGAGCAACAGAAGACTTCTGTGTTTCCTTTTTTCTAACATATGCCTCATGTTCTTTGAAGCGAAATTTTAAGGCTCTCTTAGTTTGGCCAATGTAATTAAAACCGCAACTGGCAAGGAATCCTATAAATACCCCAGGAATTCATATCCGGAATGGGGTCCTTCAGTATAGAAGTTGGAATTTTATTGAATGGGAGAGTAAACAAACCCGAAAGTTAAATTTCTGCAAAATATGTGCAACTTTATAGCTAATTGATGGGAAAGAAGGGAATGACAACAGAATTTTTATAATCTCCTAAAATAAGAGTGTGGCTTTTAGTGTGTTGAGATGAGAATTTTTTAACTGCTTGATTAATAATGTGGGGTGAAAAGCCCCTGTCAATAGCTATTGCTTTTAAATAATTTAGTTCTTCATCAAGGGCTAGTTTGGAGGAGCAAACTTGAAGAGCACGGAAAACATAGGAATAAAATGAAGCTAACTTTTGTTTAGTCGGAGGATGACATGATTTAAAGTGTGGTGGAAGGCAAAACCGATGAAGGTTTACGGTAAACTGTAGTACTGAAGTTGGATGTGTTACGTGTGACCAGAATGTCGAGAAACGGAAGAGAATTGCAAGTCTCAAGTTCAAAAGTGAACTGAATAGCAGGATCAATAGAATTCATTGTTGAAAGAACTCTATTTAAATCATCTTTATTACCTTCAAACAGGGTAAAAGTATCGTCTACGTAGCGGAACCATGCCGGGAAGTTTAAAGTTTCAAACAATTTTGATTCATAATAATGCATGTAGATATCAGCCAGGATGGGACTGAGGGGGCTTCCCATGGCTAATCCCTCAGTTTGCTTGTAATATTTATTTTGGAAAACAAAATGTGTTTGTTTCAAGCAGAGTTGAGTGAGAGAAATTAGCTCATCAATTTCGATGCAAGAGAAATGAAATTCGCGAAGTCTGGTTTCTAGACATCTTAATGCACCCTCTACTGGGACATTGGTGAATAATGATTTTACATCAAAAGAAACCATGAGTAAATTACGAAGGAGAAATGTTTTTAACCTTTTTTACAAACTCTATTGAATTTTTTATGGTGGTAAATGTTATTTGTCTAATAGAGTGGAAAATCTAGAAACTAAAATTTAGCTAATGGATACGAGGCAGTACCTAAATGTTGATACAATAGGGCGGAAGGGAATACCACTTTTATGAATTTGGGAAGAGAAGAGCATATAATCTGGCACAATTCGCAACAGATGGGATAAGCGAATGTTTTAAGTTGCTTGAAATGATTTGCGAAGATTTGATCGCAGTTTGTATTTTGGATAAGTCCGAAGGTTGAAGGATCTTTAGGGATCGGATTATATGGTCCTTCGTTTAAGAGTTTAGTGACACCATCGATGTAAGTGTTTCTTATCCATGACGACTATCTGGCCACCTTTGTCGGCCTTTGAAATGACAATATCCGGGTTAGAATGAATCTCGCGCGCATTGTAGCTCTTTCTCTCGCAGTTAGATTTGGTTTCAAAGGTTTATTATTGAATTTCACATTATGAGCGATAAGATGCCTAATCATTTCTTTCTGTGAATCTGAAACTTTACTGAACTTGAAAGCTTTTTCGATAGGAGCCAAAAATCTTTGGAATCGAGGGTTTTACAGGTTTGTGAGAAGTTAAAATTATATTTTAGAATTCTCTCTTGTTCTTCTGAAAGACTAACATTAGAAATATTAACTATTGGCTTGATGTTTACAATGGGAAGATTTTTTGAACTACTTGAACTGGAAGACTGTAAAAGAAGTTTTTTCGAATTTAACTGCAAGGGTGTTTTTGTTTTTATGACGGTTAACTGCATTCTCCGTTCTAGACCAAGACTTTTGTTCAAGGGCAGTGAATTTTGGATATGTTTTAGCGAGTTCCAGATGAAGCTTATAGAGTTCATGTTCAATTTTGGACAATTGTTGACGTGTATCCCTTATCACGGACCGAAGTAAGGCAAGTTTGCAATTTAACAGAATTCTTGAAACGCGACTCGAACTGGAGAACTGGATTTTCTAGAGGCATTTCTCATTCATAAAAATCTTTCTGTTCTAGTTAACGATCCTAATTCCAATCCAAATTTGCCTTCGGCTTTTAGAGAAATTATGTTTTAGTTCTGGTTTCGCCAACAGATGGCGCCACTTGCTTATTCTTGTCCAGGCTTTCTTATCTTATCTAAACATTATTTCCTATCTTGTTCATTTGCGGTTTTGCAGCTGAAGATGATGGTTCCGTAAAACCATCGAAACTAGTCCTGTGAAAATTTTGTGAATTAACGCTGATTTTTGTTGTTTGACTTCTGAATCAGTATTTATTCGGCGTGTTTTTGTGTCTTAAAGCTTGAGATAGTCGTTTAAAGCTGAATTTCTAAAATTCTAAATTTTTTTTCATTTTGATTGTTGTAACAAGATAATATATAGGATCTTTAACTTAGTAAAATTACTTGCGGCCAAATATGCTGTTATTTTTTTATATTTCTTCGAATAACTCCTTTTTGTTCCATTAATAAAATATTTTCAACCATTTAGTCGTCAAAATCCTTTGCTTTTGTGACACTAATATTGACAAAATCAAAATTGGACGTCGTGCTCCATTTGCGTTTACTTGTCTTAGAATTCTAGTTAGTAAAGTTCAGAAGAATATAGTCTTTCTGGTATCTTAAAATTAAACAAAATATCCTGATAAATAACATAATATATTAAATAATCTAGGTACTGTTGTAAGAATACAAGAATTATTGCTTGCAAACAAATACTGAAAAAATTGCATCTTTTCGAAAATTAGAAAATCGCAGCATCTTAAAAAAACAACTGATGCAAATTCCACTTGTTCAACAATCCACTTTAAATGCACGGAATAATTATAATATGATTATAAATAGCTATAATATTTACAATCTTTGTGACCATGATCAGTTTATTAATATGCACAGCACTGAATAAGTCACTAGTACTCACAATTTCGTTGATGGCATCCGTTACTGATATAAAAGAGAGGCAGAAGTTTAATTTGAAAATTCATATTGCTTTTTATAAAAGGTAAAGATTATTTTGTGTTTCATTCTACGAAGATGAAATCTCATGTTTTTTTATCAGCTTTTAGTTAATGTTGACTGACACTTTAATTTAATTTTAATAACTTTCGGAAAACCCAAATTGGAAAGCAATGATATTCGTAGCACAAGCTGAAAGTTCATTTCATCAGTAAAATGATACTTTAAATTTTTCTAATAGTAATCATATATACAACTGACAGCGTTGCTTTTAATTAATATTCGGAATTTAGTGGAATCAGTTTAGTAAAAAAAAAGGCATAATTTTGAAAATTAGAAAGACCAAATTTAACTTTAGACTGCCTTTGATTTTATAGAAAAGCACTAAGAAACTTTACAATGAAAATTTTACTGGGAAAATTTGGAAAATATTCCGCTGATTTTTGTGGTTTGACTTTTAATCAATTTTAAAGAATCTGAAATAGATATCTATTCTTAAGACATTGATACGCATGATGTTATTTATTAGAGTAAATTATATTCTCCTGATGAATTCCAATTTAGACGACAAACGTAATATTGAAAAGTAGTTGAAGTCTATATTTGTCTTAAACAACTGCTTTGAAGATACTTGAAAATAGCAAAATGTTTATTCTATAAATCGTTAATTTTCTAATGATCTCCATCATGTTTTTCAGGACAGATTGTATTTCGTGATGGAATACGTGAATGGAGGTGATCTTATGTTTCAAATACAGCAGTGCGGGAAGTTTAAGGAACCAGTCGCAGTGTAAGAAAATTGAATTGTAAAAAATGTTGCTTTTGTGTTACACAATACAGAACGAAACATACATAATAGGTATTTATTGCACTATAATTATAAAATATTTGGGCAGACATTTTATTCGCCGCAACACGAAAGGTCTACGTTATTTACCATAAATGTTATTGATTATAATTATGACGTGATTTTAATTGATAAATGATTATCGGCATGGCTATTTAAAGATGAGTTACGCTGCATTTGCATCCAGTGCAAACATTTCTTGAATATAATTAAGTTAAAAAACTACTGCTGTAGAATTTTAACTAGAGCTGTCATTAAATTATTAGAAATTAATACATAACAGTGTTTCTCAACCGTTGGTCCACAAACACTATTCGCCAGTCCTTCCAAATTCAGAAGCATTATAACAATATCCCTACCGTCGTTTACTAAAAAAAAATATTAAAATCTGGAAACTATGTATGTTATCATTAGCTCGAACTTTCTCAACGTGTCTGTTGTTGTCTGTTTAATTTATGTTTATTAGCATTAGGGAACCTATCGTGGTGCAACGAAAGTTGTATTTGTGGGTCCGATTTTTTTCAGCCATTGCCACTTGAGCAAAGGAAAAGTGACATGAAGAGGGTGACATATGGAGTTTTTCCTCAACCGCTTGCCCAGCGGACCGCTGTTTTTATATGTAATGAATTTTGTGATTATTTTTTATAAATTTTTGCGATTTTTCTCAAAGGTTTATTTACTTATATATGACAATTATACTGATATATAATAATTATTTATATAGTTACACTTGAATACCTTGTAAAACTCTTTTTGGGGGGAGGGAACCAAAGATCCGAGAAATGGTTTCGTAAATTTTACCGGTTCGCGGACCAAAAAAAGGTTGAGAAGCACTGGTCTAGAATTTATAAAACTTTCGAATTATTTGCATCAGCAGTATTCACATTCTAGTTTTAATTCCTGTGTTCTAAAACCTAGTAACTCTTAAAAGTCCTGCAGAAAATAATGATGCCTAAAGCCTTCTGCATATTTCAATTAAGTAATAAAATTATGGAACAGTAACTCATGTAATACTAAAAATGAAGTCAAAAAAATAAACTAACCTCCAAATTAAAGTAAATGGAAAACTAGGGCATTGAATAATAATCGTCAGTATGAGCTCCGAATAAAAAATATTCAAACATTTTTATTTATACACTACTGGCCATTAAAATTGCTACACAAGGAAGGAATGCAAATAACAGAATGATATTCATTGGGCATGTAAATTATAGCGGACAGAACAGGTGATTAAATTTATAGGAGATTTTGGCATATAGATTTTGGGGCATCAGTATCCAAAACAGTCACCTCTGGCAGCAATAACAGCGTTTATCTGCCTGGAAACGGAGTCAAACAGATGTTGTACGGTGTAAGCAGTTACGCAGCTTCAGCACTATGCCACATTTCATCAACAGTAATGGATGGTGTGTGGTGGCTTGTCAATTCCTCGGCAACCATTGCCCACACGTTTTCATTTGGTGACAGATCAGGAGAATGTGCTGGCTAGGGCAAGAGTGGAATGCCTTCTGTACTGAAAAAGGTCAGGACAGTACGCCCAACATGCAGTCGGGTGTTGTCTTGCGGAAATAACGTGTTAGATAGGCCTCGAAGATAGATAAGAGTCACTGGTCTTAGCTCATTAGAAATGTAACGGTTGCTGTTCAAAGTGCCGGGAATGAGAACATGAAGTTATCGAAACGTGTATTCTATGGCATTCCCTTCCATCACTCCAGCTATGTGCCAGTAGGACGAAGTCCAGTGCAAGCTGGCAATGTGTGTTCTCCATGATGCCGCCAAACAAGGCTGCGGTCATCATGGTGCTGTACAAAGAACCGGGATTCGTTTGTTAAGATGATGTGACGCCATTCCTGTGTTCAGGTTCGTCATTGATAACATCACTGAAAGGCGCTTCTGTAAGAAGGCGTTGAAGGCCACCATTAAAAGCCATGTTAGCCGTGATGACAGTCCATGTTGCTGCAAACGTCATCGAACTGTTCAAGCAAAAACTTGTCTTGCAAACGTCTCCATTTCTTGTCTCAAGTTCGTGACGTGGCTGTATGATTCCTTGTGGCCATGCGAATAAAATGTCTGTTTTCTCGGCTGTTAGTGATCAGGAGTCACTGCGATCCTGCACGGCGTTCCATATGACTGTACTGGACCCGTCAATTCTATACTCTGCTGACAGTCAAGAATTGACTGACGCGAGCCTCAGTATTGCAGTACGATAAACCGAAATTCGGTAGGCTACAATTCTTTCTCGATCAAAGTCAGACACGTCCTGATGGGCACTTTTTCTTTTTACACGAGATATTACAATAATTTTGTTAGCCGAGAGCAGCATTCAGAGGCAAACTGAGTATGAGAAAACTGCCGTCAAATCTGTGGTTTTATATACATTGTAGGTGTCTCTAATGCCGCCTGCTTTGCATTAATACTCTGAAAATTTTATTATTGGCACATCACAGTATGTTCTATCTGTCAGATAATTTCACGTGTGTGGTGTGCCTCCTTCCTGGGGTAGAAATTTTAATGGCTAATAGTGTATTTACGAAAACTCTTATAGAAGGAAGAGCAAGATTCTGCTTGAAGTGAAATTACGAGCATTGGAGAGATATAATTATCAGACTGTAGGAAACAAATTATAAACTCTGTATGAATAAATTATTTACGTAAACTTAAAGATTGAATCTTTTTAAAATAAAATAGAGCTTAGATTTAAGAATTTAAGATTTCAAAATTAAGCTAAGGTTTTCGGACATTAGAATGAAGTAAACGAAACATATATCTTAAATAAGAACAAAGAGAAGACATTACTTCTTTTCTCCATTATAGGAGAAATAATAATCCTGTATAACCGTTCACGTAAAATAGTTGCTACTCTAGTTAACTTTATTAATGATGTGCTGAGATGTTCGAGCATTTTGGAAACCGTTGTCAAGCAGTACATAGTTTTGCATACTTTTTTGGACGCATCCTAGCGACGAAAGGCATTATGATTTAAGGCAGAATATTTAATCTTTTAAGTAAAATAACTTAAAAATTAAAATTCTTATTCTAGTATGATAATGGTGTACAGTCTACATTTTAAGAGACAAAATATTTAATGAAATATTTAGACTGCGCTTTGAATTCTAAAGTTTCATTTTAAAACAAACATTTTGCAATATTTCATTAATAGTACATACTTTAAATCTTTTTCAGATTTTATGCAGCGGAAATAGCTATTGGAATGTTTTTCCTTCATAACCGAGGAATAGTGTACAGGTAAAAGAAAGATAAAATAATATTTGTATTACTTTCCATATTTAAATGTTTAACGCCTTACCATAAGAAAAGATTGCATAAAGATTTAATGAAACATCTGTGAAATGAAATGCCAAAAGACTCCGCTTATAATATTGCCGTTTATTTCGTATTTTGATAATAATCAGAATTTTTTACCCAGCCCGACTTTCAGTTTCGTTTACTGATTTCAGAAGTTTATAAATGAGTAACTAAATAAAAAAAGGATTTAAGAGGAAGTTAAAATAAAATTGATTGAGTAGGACGAGCATAACCTTAAAATTAGTTTTAGCATGGTACGAGTAGTTATTATTGCAATAAATTTTTGTTAAAAAGGAGCTTCTATTTTGGTGGGGTAAGTTGATTTGAAATGAACTAAGTTCTCTAGGATTCAAAATAAAGTCTGACTACCATTCGCAATATTTCACTCGATGATTTATAATTTTGCTCATAGCATCAAGCTGCCTATAGTTCAGCCAGCCGAGCGCGAGCAGTAACATATTCCTGTTAGTTTTCTGTTATCTATAGTGACTCGAAGTCAGCCTACAGACTGTAGATATGAGCTTAGTTAAGTAAGCAAAATTATAACGAAGTTTGTTGAACATAAATAACATAAATATAACAATATAAACAATACAAACAACAACATGATTTCTGCCATTTTATAAATGTAAAAATGGGTTTCAGATTTTAGCATGTGATTTTCATATTTCTTTAAATATTATTGTAGAATACATTCGTTTTACGAACTACCTGACTTAAATTCGTAATTAAAATTAAAATTAAATTTATTTAGACTCATTGTGTTGATATGTATGAAATTGATCCGTAAATAACATTTTAGGGATCTGAAACTGGACAATGTCTTGTTGGATTCAGATGGACACGTGAAAATTGCAGATTTTGGCATGTGCAAGGAAGGAATATTAGGAGATAAAACGACGAAAACATTTTGTGGAACACCAGACTATATTGCCCCAGAGGTAATTAAATATTTCTTTTAAGAGCTTAGCTTTTAGAAAGCAGAAGGTTCTACAAGTACTATTCTATTATATTTTTCTTACAGTAAAACATCGTAATCGTAATTATCATCATTAAAATGGAAACTGGATGCGGTAAATTTCATGTGTCGTACAAATAACATATGTAAATACCATGTTGTAAACACAAAATATTGCAGATGAAATGAGAATATTTTAATGCTTAGAAAGGCCTAAACGGCTGAACTTCCTTGCTCATGCATGGTTTTGAAGAGAGATAAAATAGATGCTGTTGATTTGCTGGTCTGAAAGTTCTGACGATAACTTCATAATCTTATTCTTTATTATTTATTTGATTAAAATTTATTGCTTAAAATATTATTTGACGTTGATGATTGATCAAAAACGTCTACCAATCATCAGTGTGCCACTTAAAATATTTCTGGAAGTTGTTATGTTGATGATCATATCCAAGCCATGAAACATACTCTTAGTATTAGAATTTATAATAATAATAAAAGAATGGCATTTTTTTAGCTAAAAGAAAAGAACATCTAGATAACCAAGTTACCTTGTTTGCTTCCTCATTTATAGTATATTTGCTGAATTTTCGTTCTCGAATTACTTTATACCGTTTTAGTGTAGGCTATGAATTCAGGTTATGGGGTTAAATTTACTTTTAGTCTTAGAATTGAGACCAAATTGAAATGAAAGGTTTTTTTGTAAAGTTAGAAATTTATACATGTTAAAAGTTATGACTATTTTTGTTATATTTTACTGAATGGTTATTGTATCATACATATTACTGCTCAGCAAATATTGGAGTATATTTATTAGGACACCTGAAAAGTCACTAGCCATTTTAAAAAGTATTGTAAGCGGTATGAATGTAAATGAGGCAAAAGGCGTGAGATTTGGACTTCTAGACAAGACACAGATTAGAACTTCATTTTTTCGGGAAATAATTGTTTAGCCACTCTTGAACAACTACAGCAAAATGGAAGCAGTATACGGTACAGAGTTGCCAGAAAGTTTTTAACACAAGTGGCAGGGGAGAAATCGAAAGCACAAAAAGTAGCACATAATGTCAGAGATCGGGTGATTTTTGATGATTTCATAGCTACGTATGTTCCCTTGACCTCTGACGTCGTCACAAATTCAGTCTCATTGGTTCCGCAAGTTATGAACTCTAATTCAATTCCTAGCCGTTTAAATTAGGTATCTTAGTTTTGAAGAATATTCTAAAACTATATTGCTAACTATCCATTTTTATAAACTTTCATTTTTGCTTTTGATTAATTCTCAATTTTAATTAGGTTTTTATTTTTAAATAAATTTTTTTCATATCCATTGTTAAAAACTCCCTCTCGTTTGGATTCTTAGCTCTTTTGTACTGATATTTTTGAGATGGCAGTTCATTTTTTCAATTCATTACTTTGTGCTTTATTTTAATTGTTAATGCTTTCCAATGAGTTTTCTGTTCTGCTTAGTTGATACATTTAAGTTTACCTGATTCTGATTTCTAATAAAATCTTCAGTCTTTCACTTCTAAATTTTTGTTGTTAGTTAGAAAATCATTTTGCTTTAAGTTTTAAGTCATATAGATTGTTTAGTTCTTAGCAATATTGTAATCAGGAGAATGAATTTCATTTCTTTTTACTGTTTGAGTACCCAATATATGGTGCTCAGTCTACAAATCGCTCCGTTATCACCATAGAACTGGGGAAACGGACTTAAAAAAAATAAAACCATCAGTATTAGTATTAAAATGCATAACTCTGTTTTACACTCTTTTGCAATATTTTCCCTCTTATTAATACTGATTTCAAGCAATTCGCTTATCTATAAATAATACAGTTCAATATTTGCTCCATGAGTCTAAAAAAATTTTAACGTTCTGTTCATTTTCTTGGTCTGTTAGCTTCATTTTCTTCTTTTTTGTTTTGAATATATGAGAAATATGTATGCAATGGACGATGAGGGTACAAAGTAAAATGTTTGATAAAAAGATAAAATTGGAAAGGTAAAAATTTTGATGCACATATTTCTTTTTCTTTCATTGACATCTTCATTAGAAGTATGGAGTCTAAGAGTTTGAAATACATTCGCTTTCATTGTTTGGTTTTGTTCTATGTGTGCATTGCTTATTGGCAAATTTTAAAGGATAAACAAAGCAATCAACCAAGCATGTAAAAACACCAGCGACTGGAGCTGGATATTCCTTGTACCTACTGTATGATCTTGCCAGATGCCAACTTCTTTTTAAGCCTAGATTAAGTGTTTTATTTATTTATTTATCATAAAATAATTTTAGTAAATACATTATTTTAACATATAAGCGTTTTTAGTTAGATTAAATTTTTTTGTCAAAAAATGCAGCACAAGGAAATGATAAAGTAGCAAAAATTTCCCAAAAATCGTAGACACAAAATGTTTATTCGCACAGGTTTGTCAAACGTAGCCAGTTTGTGATAAACCGCACGATCTATCAGCACTGATACTGCCTTGCATAACTATCAGCTATAAACTGTTATCCCATTGAGTAATGATCTTTAGCACAAAGGTTTTTAACATATCCAAGCAGCATTTATTATTCACACCACTTGGGCCGATATTATTCCACACAACACTGTTATTTTAGAGAGGAACTCTATTTTTTTTTCAGTAAATAGTACTTGTATTTGCATTACTCCAATAGTGGCACATAAATCAGCAACATCACTTCGTAAAATGTTTCCAAACAAATCAAGGTTATCTTTCTTTCAACCTAACATGATTTCTGTAAATTCTATATGGTGGCAGTTTTCGAAAAATGTTGGCCGTAATAGAACTTCAAGGAATGAAATTTTAAACCCTTCTTTAACACAGAGTGAACAGTTATTTCTTGTTAGCCCTCATCTCCGGATTCTTAACTGACTTCTCTCTTGAGTGAAGGACTTCTTTCAGACATACCCCATACTTACGTAACATTTTCTTCAAAGTGTGAAGTTGATGGTCGACCAGAACATAATAATCCAGTACGGAACCTGTTGTCATTAATTTACAATGTCAACTTTAATTGTATTAACTCATTGAATTTGGGTTAAATGTTGCATTTCCGCGGAATTCCACACCTCATACCTTGCTGCGATTTTAGCTCTCCCTTCCTTGCTGAGAAGTCTGACACCTGAAACATAAATAGTAAAGAATAAGCGTCTGGTTATTTGTCACAATTGCTCTTAAAAGTACGTTACATATTTTCTCCTTAATATAGGTATTGACTTACTATACATCAATTTCCCGGTTTTAACGAGGCTAACAAAGTAAATAAAATTCATTAAACGATGGTAGTAAATCCCAAACAGATGCAGTCAAGAGAGCTGATTGAAAGAGGATCTTTATTTCCTTAAATATTGATCCTAGACATGCATACCTTCAATTAAACAATTACGTGACCAATTCGGGAACAATTATGTATGAAGATCTTTATTTTCTTCAATATTGATCCTAGACATGTATACTCCCAATCAAACAATTACGTGACCAAAAGGCTGAAAAATCTGCTAGGTGTGGAGCAGTTCACCTACGTCTTTCCTAAAATGACAAAGTTTTCAAAGGAAGGTAGGACATTTTATGTGGGCAATTTTAAATGCAAAATTTAACTGTGTAGAAAATCTTCAAAGAATAATATATTCCAGTTTATAAATGCTCTTTATGTTTTAATAAGTTAAATACTTCTATGTTTTACAGAAATAGCTTTTCGTTTGAAAATTATGTGTTTTGCAGAAATGCTTTTACATTTGGTAGAAATATTACTTTCTTAGGTTAACAAAGTTCATAATTGGTGAAATCATTGTAGGAATTTTAAAAATCATATTTTTGACTTATGGAAGACAAGTTTTATATTTGCAGAGCTTTCGCAATCATAATAGTGAAGCAATTTTCCCTCCTTATCTTATTGAGAACCTTTATAACTGGAAATTAATATTTAGGTTCAGTATTTAAGGAATCAAAATCTCTAACTATATATTTCGAATAGTATATGCGAGCGTTATGTCCACATATTTGCGAGCATTATTTAAATATAGTAATAGTTTCAGATATTACAACAAAATGTATGGATATAACAGAGTTTATGATTATAATTTACTTGATTACAAAATTAGTAAATCGTGTAAATGAGAAGTAGGTGTATCTCTTATTCATAAGTACGATTCCAGCTTCAATCATCAGGGTAGTAAATGATGTTGAGGAGATCCTGCTGTTCAAAACTAGGAAAGTTTTATTACAGAATGTAAGAAAAGTAAATGTTTTATTGTAAGTATATGAATATCGATGACCGATTACATATAGCGAATTTTGAAGAGAAAGTTATATATCTGAAATACGCTTGATCTCCATACAATTTTCAATCGAACGAGACGTAAATCTTCTACAGTAATAATAAATAGCTATTTAAAACGTTTTTTGTAGAAAGAAGTTTCATGGCAGAGTAAAGAGAAATAGTCAGTGTCCAAAACAGAAATGTAGTCAAAAATAGAAGATGTACGTATGATCTAAGCTCTCCGAAATGAAGAGATGATGTGCTTTATCGATCGCTCCCTAACACTACCAGCTGCTTCAGAACTGCGAATATCTTTCCCATTTTTACGATTTTTCTTCCTATCTGTGAGAACATTGAAGGAATGGAATTAAGTCGGTGGAGTGGAATTTCTAGTTAGATGCTACTTGTTAGAAGACAGAACAGAAACAAGGTACAGCACGTAGGATTTAAGCTTAAATTTGCAGCTTATTTGTATCCATTTAAGTTTTTGCAAGTAGTTTTTTTTCTATTTCAGAACTAAATTATTAAGACACAATAACACGCCGAATAAATACTAATTCAGAAGACAAACAACAAAAAACAGCGTTAACGCTGATTTTTGTTGTTTGTCTTCTGAATTAGAACTAAATTATTATTTATCAGCTGTGATGTATAGTTATTTTGACAATTGTACAGGCATGAAATCGGCATGTGGATTAAAATGTAGTAGAACCTTTATTAACCGGCCTACTATCAGCTGAGGTCTCTGTTTACTGAGCCATCAATGAGTTGAAAGAAATCATTGGGAAATAAAAGCAACATTAGAAGGTGCACAGTCAAAATTAGTAACATTCGCAAATTCTCTTTTCTCTGAATTTTGGATGTTTTTTTTATCAATGATGGGTCATTTAATAGCCTTCTTGTTGTGCATTACGGTTAAAAATGTTGCATCGAAAACCAAAAGAATTCACAGGCAAAATTTTAAAGGAAAAACGAATGTTATCTCAGACTGTATAGTGTAGAAAACAGCAAACCAAGCTTTCAAAGAACGAGTAGCGAAAACTTCATTTTTCGCGTGGATTCAGAAAACAGCAAAAATTGCAGCACATGAAAGTGAAGCGGAAGACCTGGAAATTAACGACGATGAAGATATGATCTTGGTATATTTTGATTCAAAGCAAATATTTAGCAAAGAATACTAGGTTATTTCATTAGCAAAAAATAAGAGGGCTATATGCCTCGCGAAAACCCATAGATTCGTTTCATTTGCCATGATTTTAATCCGGGTCGAATTATTAATACTAAAATGTTTTATCACTTAACCACCAGTAAGCGCTGAATATTTGAGCCAGTAAGCGCTGAATATTATTTATTTAAGTATTTGACTACTTAACTTTCTGACGGTGATGCTTCAACGAGCTCAATAACGCACCGTTAAGTGCAAACGAACACAGTTCACATTAAAAATTTACGACTAACAGATAACGTACATATTTGGGAAGAAAAAATTGCTGAATCGCGTCGACGGGTTAAAATTTAGAACAACGTGCTGATACTTCTCGAACGGATATTTTGTTGACCAAATACTGACAAAATGATTGCGCTGCAACTATAGAACTTTTGCAAGAAAGTGTTATTGACCGTTTTTTTTTCAGAAAAAGTTTAATTTTGATAAAAATGCATGCAAAAAAATTGACAATATTTCACAATTAGTGTAAATTTTGATTTAGGTTGTTTATTTCAGTTCCTTTTACGATAAATCTTCTGGTAGCATAAGATAACGTAACAGTGATAAAAGATGGCAAAATTAAGCTATAGATGTTTCTAGCATTAAACAAATCAGTATGCATGAAATTCTTACAGAAAATAAAATCAAAAATGAAGAATTGAAAAAAAAAATAAATATTTTACATATGGAACATTTTATATAAAAATGCCTAGTGCTGGATATTTATTAGCATATCAGTTCTTCTGTTTGCTAGAATATTGGATGGTAGATCATATTTCAAGTTTGAAGACGCCAAACCTTTGCAAAAATATTAATTAGCAGTCAAATAACTACTATTGTTTGAGAATTTGAAAATGAATCTCTGTTAAATAAGTATTAAAATTCACTGCGCGCATTTAAGAATGCCATAAACATAACTTGCGGTGAGAAATGAGGTATGGTAAAGTGGCGTAACAGTTAATTTTAGAATGTTTTTGATCTGTTTTTTTCATTTTCAAACTGGATCTGTTGTCTTAAAGAATGTGAAGCTTTGTTATCTAAAAATGAAACACTTCAGAAACATACATTTGTTCTTTTGTATTGTAATTTTAACTGTTATTTTATTTGTACTATACTGCATAAACAGAATACGTTCTTAATACTGTTACGAAATGTACAGGCGCGGTAAGAAGGCTTCCCCGGAAAGCAGTTTTGGGTTGTCAAAAAATGGCAAAGGAAGGCAGGGTCGCCACATTTGGCGAGAAATCGCCCATCTGGCGACAAAATTGGCAATATACCATGGACGGATGGAGAACCTTCTGGAACGAATTCTTACCGATTTAGCCCAGAATGGTCTCGAACACAAGCCGAAAGCTATATAAACCCTGCTGGTCCGCAGTCAGTTAGAGTGTGTGCCTCGTCTAGCCAGCTGATAGTCAGTCATTGAGCAAGTGTCTCGAAGTCTAGCGCCGAGTTGGTCGTCGAGTGCATCGAGAGAGTCTTTTAGTGCGTCGCGAATTAGTGCATTGTCGAGTTTTGTCTTAGACTGTGCTGAGTCGAGAGCTATACTCTTGTGTATTGTCGAGTGCATCGCGTGGAGTGTCTCGAGAGTACGTGGAGTTCCAAGAACGACCAAGCAGAGTTGGGAGCTGTACTCGGGTGCTTTGCAGTGAAGCTGTTTCCACCGTTATTGCCCGACAATTTGATGGCTCTGGCGCTGAACGTGTGAGCGTGTTTATAACAGTTCGACGACTGTAAAAGTGATTTTGGAGTTATCTGATTAATATTGGTAAATAAAGTGTGTTTCGATACTTCATCAAGTGTCGTCGTTATTCACTCCAAATCTACGAACCCCGTACTAACGTGAAGGAAGAAAATAACGTAACAATATGATTCCAGGACATGAAAATATAAAACTTATCCTCTAGGTAGAAAACAATCACAAATTTAAAAATTAATTATCCAAGCTATATTTTATGTTGATTAATAACGTTTTCATGAATTGACGGAATATTTTAAAAGTGAAAATAATTTTTGTTTTTCTTTTTAGATCATCTTATATCAGCCTTATGGTAAATCCGTTGACTGGTGGGCTTATGGTGTTCTTTTATATGAGATGCTTGTGGGGCAAGTAAGTGCCATAATAAGTTGATAATCACTTTCAAAATTATTATTGTTAATTAGTTTTATAATTCGTTCATCATTTAGTGTAGTAAATATTTGAAATTAAGAAACTGAAATAAACGAATAAGATAACTCTTTCAGAGAAATTTTGCCATCTGAGATGCTTGTTTAAGTAAAAATAAAAAGGTTTTGTGTTATACGTTTGCTTTGGTTTACCGAAAGAAACATTAATGAAATATAATATTGAATGATACCTATGGTAGCTTGTAGAAGTCTTCAAATAACATAATAAATCTTGAAACATACAAAATAAATTTGATTACACCATAATTTAAGAAGTCTATAATCCCAAATATGCTGAGTCTGATGCATTAAAAGTTAGAAACTCTTAGTCTGAGAAAACAAATTACAAATTTTTGCACAAAATATAAATAACAGATAAGCAAGCACAATATTGGATAGATTATGAAAATTTACTCAATAAACTACTTTTGTTTTTAATAAATATATAAAGAAGTTAATCCGTTTAATACTTGCTGTAGGTTCCTTTCCCCCTTGTAACAGCTGGAATGAGATTGAGTATATACTCTGATAAATTTTAGCGATAGATTTTTATAACATTCTCTTTGTATGTATAACCGAAATTGAAACTTGGTGTTTTCAAAGTAATTTGAAAAATATTTCTTAAGAAGACACTGGTTCTACTGTGTACCTTTAGGTCTAGAGATGGAGCCTGACACTTAAAAACATAAATATGGTTATCTCGAAACCTTTTGCTTGCTAAACTTGAGGTATACTTTATTTTGTTAATATTTTGATGCAAAATATTTCACTTTTTTATAGAAGACCAAGTTTTGAACCAAATAATTGTTTAATAGTTTTTATATATGTAACTGTAGTAATAATCTCTTTGGAATCAAAAGGTATCATTTCTAGCTCATACTCGGTATTACATCCTGTATTGTTATTCTTCTTCTCCCGAATTTGAGTATAGAGTTTAAAATTCAGAATTATTATTTAAAAAAATTTTTTTTTTCCTGATTTCAGACATATCTGTTATTTTAATTTATCCGATCTGTCAACCCCATTCTAATGCTGGAATCATTTTGGGAAAAATTAATTTTACATGTGTATATATGTAAAATATTTAAAATAAGACGGCTTTGCTCTATGTGAACAAGCAACCTCTAATTAACTTTCCACAGTTTCAGAATCTTTCCCCTAGACCAGTACTTTCGAGAACATTCGAGCCTATTACGTAACCGCTTCTATAAATAGAGAACTCGCGCCATTTTGCGTCAGAGACCGCTTTCTCACTCTGCTGCTAAGACCTGTGCTGCTGCTCTTCTGCCTTTCTTTGTTCCAATTATGACGCAGTGAATTTAAAGTTAATCTTATTTAGTAAATCGCTATTGAATATGTAATTTTGGAGAATGTAATCTAAAAGAATAATAATAATCTGCTGCTTGAATGGAATAAAGATATGGAGCAATAAATTTAAATTCTTCTGTCTCGTCATTGGATTGCATTCAGCCACAACTATGTTCAGAATTCTGATGTGACCACCAGATTGCCAAGCTTCATTCATGTGCCCGATTGCTAAAATATTACATACATATATATGCTTCTTTTTCATTGTTTGTGATTTCAGGCTGAAAACATGTCTCCTTCAAATTAACTTCAGACTTTTAACTTCCCTTTTTGAGTTACTTTTCCAAAGCTTAAATATTATTTAAAAAATCTAATGTGTACACCATATGACTTCCTTGTACGGAAAATTAAATTATACGCTCATTCTCCTGTCTTTCGTGTAAACTTATTTACTCGAATTTCATTAGAGACATATTTCTCATTGAATTAATTCAGTTCTCACTTCACGACAAGGCAAAAAATACATAAAAACTCATATATATATATTAAAAATTGAAAGATATAGAAAAACATAAAACACCAAATACAGTTAATACAATAAAAAGAATTTTTTGTTCAATTAACATTATAGTTTCTACGCAAAAACAAGCAATTCGGCCTGAGGGCAAGAAGGCACATTTTGCGGTGCACAATACTGAAAGTTTACTTTTGGTCTCATTCGGCAAAAAGACACTGAAGGCGTACAAACTGACTTAATTTATTCTAGACGCTTACTGAATCAATTTATGAGATAATTTAATAACTTAAATGATAATTCCAGTGTGGATTAAGCATGATTTAATTCACAATAATAAAAGAAGAGACGTTACTTTGTTGTTGCGAAGCTTAGTATCTCTAGATTGGCAACAAATCCACTATTCTGCAAGGTTTTCAATGTAAACAAATACATCTGCTACGGTAAAAAAAATTAGGCTTAGCCGCACGTAAACAACTTTTAAATTGTTGATAATTCTACAGCTATAACATACAGGTTAACTAAAGGCATAAAAGCCTTAAGCGGAAGATAAGAACAGCATAATTCAATCATTTTTAAAGCAAAAAAGGCGGAATTCACCAATATATGAGCCAACTCTTCGTTTGGATATAAAGAGTCCTTTATTCTGTTCTTACGTACAGATGTCACGCAAAACCACCGTTAAATTTCATTTGATAGCGGTCAAAATGAATATTTTTCGTTGAAATATGATACCTAAAATTTTTGTTATTACAATACTTCCTTTTTACTTCGTACAAGGAAGTAAAAATTAAAGCATTTCAGATTTTCTTTTATCAATTAACGCAACTTTAGAACTTCGTTCTCGAAATTTTCTCGAATGATACTGATAAATATAGCTCTTTAAAAGGGTATTTTTGCTATTATGGAATAAAAGTTTGATCTTTTTTAATATATTTCAACCCTAAGAATTAAATGCATCGCATTTTAATTAAATTACGTTTTTAAATTTGCTTTAAATGCAACCCAAAAAACAATTTCATAGTCACTTGATATGCATATGACACAGTAACACTACTGTAGATTAATTACCGAGTATTATACAGCTTCTTGTTTTGTATACTTTTCTTACACCATTTTTCTCTACCACTTGAGTGATACCCTTGTAGTGGGAAATTTAATAATCTGATTTTAAGAATTGTTACTAGAGCTGAATACACCATATGATGAAAGATATTAGTTAAGTTATAAGGTATTTCTCCTACTTCCCTAGCGTGCCTTCGTGGTGTAACGGTAGCACGCTGGGCCGGTATTCCATAGGTCCGTGTTTCGATTTCCGGCGAAGGCGGTTGCATATTTTTCATCTTTTCCGCTTCAAATTAACATAATGACTCTAAAAGTGGCGCCCGAACTAAAAAAGGGTTGTGGATGATGATTCTCCGCAAACAGGATTTGGCGACTAGGTGCCCTGAAACACTAGTCGCCCTTTAAAAAAGGGGAGTATATAAGGTTTTTCTCCCACTTCCCTAGCGTGCCTTCGTGGTGTAACGGTAGCAAGCTGGGCCGGTATTCCAGATGTCCGTGGTTCGATTCCCGGCGAATTTTATTTTAATTTATTTCTGTTTTAGTATTAATTTTCAAGAGTATGCTTCATATTATTTTGTAATTTGTATTTTGTTTACGCCAGAAGCTTGCCACATTCTATAGTTTTCTATTACATTTCATTCTTTTCTAAATTAATTGATTTCGAAGCATTGTGGGCTAAATTAATTGTACTTCATTAAATAATCTTCAAATTCTAATTTCTGAAAATATGTATATAAAATGACTTCACAAGAACATCTGGGAGGAAAGACTTCTTGTAAATGAAGTAAATTGGGATTTATTCGCAAAAGAGAAGGATTTATGTGGGATATTTTATGCTTATTAATACTTCCAACATAAAGCAGCTGCCCTCCCAAGTCTCTCGAAAGCTATCGTAGTTCCTCAAGACAGAGAGATACCTCTGTGATGCTTTTTGAAGGAGAGATAAGGTGGACGATATCCGCAACGCCCTATAATGATGTTACGTGTCTGAGGAATCAATAAAATTTTAGTTATTTCGAGTGATACAATAAGTACTTAATTTTAATCAAGAAAAAAATTCAATTTTGTTTCTTATTTAACCTTTCAATATTATATATTTTTTGTATAAAAATGTTTTTTAAAACAAATAAATTTTATTTTTGTACTGGTTTAGTTTTCAGATTTCGTATGTTTTAAATATTGAAAAAAAAACTTTATATGTTTTATATGTTTTTGATCTTAGTGTTTTACCTGTTTCTGATGTTTAACATTTTTTAAACATTACTTTCAGCCCCCTTTTGATGGCGAGGATGAAGAAGAACTCTTTGCATCCATAACAGATCATAATGTATCATATCCAAAATCCCTATCCAAAGAAGCTAAAGAGGCATGCAAAGGAGTGAGTTTTTTTATATCATATAGTCTGTATAGCAGAATATTCAAGAGTAGTTGATAATATGGTCATTATATGTAACACTGCACTTGATATTCATTTAAAGATTTTAGAAATTAAAAAAAAAAAAAATCTGAAAGCTTTCAGATTTTACGTTACGCCCAAAGGGGAGTTTTTTTAACGTTTTGTAGTGTATTACCTTGATTTATTAAATATCATGTTCTTTGCACTTAAACCATAAAATTCAATTCAACGGCATTATGCAAAATAATTTTAAATGAGCATATGTTTAGAATTTCCTGTGCACAGTCTCTCGCGCTGGAGATAAAAATGTTTTTTTTCCCCGTGCAGTGTTGCCATTCCTTGCTTTGAAATCATTGAGTTTGTTAATGAAAAGTTCTTTAATGTCGGACAAAATATGAAATAGATAATAAAACAAATTCCAAATTCGGGCTTCTGGATGCCCATATCCGATGGAGGATTACGTTATTCAAAATTTGACGGCTCTAGGTACCGTCGTTTTATCACAATGCGAGAAACATACGTACATTTATTCAGATTCTTCATTATTTAATTTCTTTAAATATAATACAGGGCTGTGATATTTGGTGGAAACAGTTTGAAAAGTGAACCAACGCAGAAAGTGAATCAACGCAAAATGCCAAAACGAAATTAATAGCCATTCTGGGCTAACGCCCTTTGGGCTAATAATTTGATAAGTTATATAAATCGTTCAGGGAAATATATGCAACATGTCGAGTAATGATGCATGAGGGATATTATACTACTTTTAATATCCTAATATGTCTTATGAATGGAATTCAGAGTGCAAGACAGAAAACAAAATTTAATTTTAACAAAATTTGGTGTCATTTTTTAATGAAGTTAGCATCTTGAAAGAATCCAAAAATTTTTGATTAAAATTATATAATTAATTTCATTGATTTTGTATTTCGCTTGTCAGAATTCGTAAAGAATTCGTAAAGAATAAGTTGCACAGACGCACATTTGCTCTATAAGGATAAGAGAATGATCTTTTTAATATTCTAAACAGATTCCGCAGTCTAAATGCTTATAAAGGACCGCATACTCAAAGAGGTTGAACGGAGTGCCTTTCCAGAGGTGTTTCAAAATTCTCTGCATATGCAACGTAAATAGAGAATATTTCCTCTTAAGAACGTCGTCCACAGGACATTATCTCTGAACTTACGATATATTATGCCATAATTAAATAATCCGGTCTATTCTAGTCATGGTAGAACGTTATGTAAATTGAAAATATAGAGAAATATGTTATGTGCATTATGATTATAATATGTACAACATTAAGGAGAAAGCATTATTTATGCCTTTAACTAATGTACATTCAACTGCCATATAATGATGCATTTATAAAATGCTTACAGACAGATAAGTATGACGTACAACCATACAGTGAATAATACAATATATTATCAAAAACTAAACTAAAAACAAACAGAAATATATAGATATATATCAATGATTTTCTCACATCAAATAAACCATTTACCTAGCTATAATCTCAAATGGGAGAAAACGTAAAAAAATTATTCAGTTTTCAAATAGTTAGTAATAACTCTTTTATTTGAATTATTAACTCTTTTATTTGAATTATTAACTCTTATTTGAATTATTAACTCTTTTATTTAAATTATTAACTCTTATTTGAATTATTAACTCTTTTATTTGAATTATTAACTCTCTTATTTGATATTAATTGAGTAAACTGATTTAATAATTTTTGATAACATTATTATTATTATTATTATTATATTGATACTATTATTCAATATAAATAGATTATGGGTACCTGTAATTTATTTTAAATTCTTTGATTGAAAACCGTAGGAAAAAATGAAATGGATTAAAAGTTCAAATAAAATTACCCAGTGAGTGCATGCTATAGAGATCAGATTTATGAATCTATAGTACAAATAAAGTCATTATGTAAAGCAGGTATTTCAACCACATGTGAAATTTATGAAATGAGATCACACGAAAAGTAACATATGCACATGTTTTATCACGCGTATGTGGGTTCTCAAAATTTTGAACACCGTGTTTCCCGTGTTGAAAAACAACAGAAAATATTCCACTTCTTGATTTCCTCATTTATACGTAGTTTTGTCTTTGTGATAAAGGTAAAATTGCTCACAGAATTTACAGTATTTCTACTGTGTGGTGTTGAAACCACATAACGCAGTGCAGTAGTTATATGTGTTAGCACAGCACTTATTACGGCTTAAAAATAGAATCCCAAATAAACACACCATAGTAATCATAATGTTAAACATATACTATATCTCAAGACATTTGCTCCTTAATAAGATATCGGCGATAGACGATTTTAGGATTTCTACTACACGAAATGTTCCCCCTCATATGAGCTATGTTTTCAAACCTACTATCTTAATTGTCAATAATAGGATCATAAAATTGTAATAATAATGATAATTATAAAATTTTAAACAAAAGAAATCATAGATCAAACTGTTAGTAAGAAAACTTTAACAATAATGGTATTATAAATTCTATTAAACTTTTATTTTTAAATGGCACACAGTGTATAATGAAATTAAAAAGCGTGTATTCAAGAGGTCCACGCTTTGAGCCCCGACGAGGGCATTGCACATTTTTCACATATCGAATATCGCAAAACCTAATGACTCTACAGTGGCGCGATTTGGCAATTGGGTCCCTTCGTTCCCAGTCGTCATTTAAAAAGGGGGCCGTTGATATATAAGGTATTTTCTTCCTCCTTTTTGCATGCCTTCGTTTTATAAATAGCGGCATAGTCGACACGTATTCTAGAGGTCCAAGAAGGCATTTCACACTTTTCAATTCTCTAGCATTGAAAAACCTAATGATTCCACAAGGTTTTTATGAAATATATATATATTTTAATTTTATACTATGTCAAATTGAATGTCCACAACTGGCCTGTTTATACTCTAATTTATCATTATATTTATAATAAATAATATGATTTATAACTATTGTTATTTTACAGTTTCTAACGAAAAATCCATCAAAACGTCTAGGCTGCAATGTTCACGGTGAAGAAGATATTAGAATTCATCCCTTCTTCCGACGGATAGACTGGAATAAAATAGAAAACAGAGAAGTACAGCCTCCTTTCAAACCGAAAATTGTAAGCTTTTATTTATGTCTATTTATTATATATGATAATATGGATAAGTATGTTTTGTATACGGATGTTGTCTTTAAGCATAATTAATTTTTATATGTAATTTAACAATATCTTGCAAAGAACATTTGCTGAAGACTCTGAATTTATTCTCTCCAGATTCCTGCAGTATATTTTTAAATGATTTCGCGAAGATTTCAAGGAAGCTGTCTTCAAGCCATTTTAAGCATATTGCAAACATGCATTTGTTGAAAAATCCATAAAAATGTATATTTTCTAAAATTTTCATGCTGTATTTATTAAATAAGAGGGGTTTGACTTCTGCTTTCCTGTTTGCTTTATAAGAAATACAATTATTGTTCACATTTAACTTTATAACCTTTTGAATTTATAAAAAATTCTAAATATTTTAGCGGTTTATTAATTAAGAATGACTGAAAGCAGTTTGAATTTCGCTTCTTGATATGAAGATATATACATGGCTGTTTTATATTACATTTAAATTCACTAAAATGAATTGATAAGAAAGAAACAAGTAACACAGGATTATTTGTAATTATGTAAATATAATAAGCAAAAGGAAAAGTTGTAGATTATTTAAGATATCTTTTAAAATTTAATATATCTATGTGATTGTTTTCAACTATCTACATTCTTTGTTAGATAATATGAATTAAAATTTTTGTTGTGCTAGATGAGTTCCTCGAAAATGTATAAATTATTAGGAAAAAAGTGTGAAAGATTCGAGGAAATTAAAAGAAAATATAGTGTAAATACAGCAATTTTCCCGATCTCCTGAGGAAATCATTAGAGGGTTACTACTGATAATCTCACTCACTACTAAATAGAGAACTTTAAAATTGCGATTGGTTACTTGTATGTATTGTAAGATTTATTTAGCCTCACATTGCTTGACATTTAGCTTCCTTTTTTCCATTAGGCAGTGGGAGAGAAAAACCAAAAGTCTATCAATATAACTATGTAAATGTAGTGCAATGTAGACAAGCAAAAGTACTGTAATACATGCTTTGCATTAACAATGTTATACTAATTATTTTTACTTTTAATTATAAAACATTATTCCTGTGGGCTATCTGAAAATGGCTATGTCTCCTTTAATTCCGATAAACGAGTGTTTTGCCTGCAGGCTGTAATTTTATATTGTGTAGTAATATTTTAAGACAGCTGAACAAAATTAAAGTTGACCAACCAACAAGGAAAGATATAATGATTTCTGAAAGCAGAAGTAAACAATCGATGTTAAATTGAAAGCTTCGAAAAACAAATTCTTTTGTTGAAACAATAATATTTTTAGATGCTTTTTTGTCTGAATAATAATCCATGGGTTTAGTTTTGAGTTTTAAAGACGTGTTGCATTACAAATTGCCTGAAATAATTATATAGTACTTGACATAGAAAGTGAATACCAATAAGAAAGCTTAGCAGAATTTCTTCGGCAGGTAAAGTATAATGAAGAGCTGAGGGAAGAGGGCTTAGTGCATGATAACAATGAGGGAAAGCATGACAAAGGAAGCTTCCTTCCAATTTTGAAATTAAAGTTAGCTTTCTTAGTAAGTTCTAGATTTTGCATTCATCTGGTACTTCTTCCAGCTTTAAGATGTATTGGGAATTAGCTTTTCTGTTTCTTCCCAAAATCCGTCCTTACAATGCCTTTGCATAAGAATTTTCTACTTGCTTTTTCATAACCTTCATGAGACCCTAATTTAGTTTCACATTTTTATTCGCTATAAATCTCAGCTTTTTCAAAAATTTTATGTTAATAATATTTTCTTTTTTTTTTTTTTTTTTATCAAGCAAGCTTCAATTTTGTTAGAATATTCACCATCAGTTTAGCCTTATTAATGATTAATGCTGATTTGGGCTCTGCTTATTAGACTTTTTGTAGTTAGATTGGTAATAAATTTAAATAACCCAATTCTTTTATGCAATGTCTTGGAAATACAGTAGTGCCTCAGCATACGAGTCTCATTCGCTTCGTGACTGCGCTACCAACACAAACTATTCGCATCCTGAAACAAGTTTTGCCATTGAAATTAATTTAAATAATGTTAATCTCTTCTGGACTCACAAATAATCATCTCATATTTTTGTTCATGCTTTTTAAATAACAAAAACGTGCTCTGTATTGTATAAATAATCAATAAAACTTTCTAACTCATGATACAAATATGTAAAAAAGAATACAAAGAGATGAACTGTAGTTTATCTAACAAACTGTAGTTTTGTAGTTTATCTTCTTTATTAAAATGTTTAATTACTGTACGAGGAGGTTGAGATTGATTTATTTGAAATCTTCAAGAATGTCGTCTTCGACGTCTGGTGGATGCATAAAAGCTTTCTCAAATACGAGAAGGGCTTATAGTTCTAAGTTAATTTCTTCAAGATACTTTTTAACACTAGGACCAAAGATCAGTTTGGTATATTTTACAAAGAGCTGCCTATTGACATACGACTCCATATAATATGAATATTTCTTTCATAATTTTATGGGCTTTAAATGCTCTGGGGCTTTGTGAATGGAATCTGAGTATTGGCTTTAGTTTGAAGTCGCTACTCACATTTTCACATATTGCGAGGCTTTTGCTTCTTTCAGAAGAGCCCTATATCGTCACAGCTGAAGACTTGCTGGGGAATTTAACATTCGGCTTTTATCGTTGCCACAGAAATTTCGAGGAACTCCCCCACTGCCTTCATGTCTGAGCTCAGCATGCCTGACGACAGCAGTTCGCCTTTTGAACATTCAACAGCCACAATTTAGAATTTCTGTTCAAATTCATTGTTTGAAATCATGAGGTCGTGTCCAGAAAAACAGCTTATAGTATTTGTGCTTTCTCGCGAATGATTGCCTCTATCACGGCATCTTCTTTGAGTTGCTTCTCCTTCAGGCATAATAACAGCAGCTTCTCCATCTTTTCATCTACAGAAGCTCGGTGCTTCAACATTGTTGTAATGGCCTTGGCTGAAGCTATAGTCTTTATTATCTCTTTAAGCTGCAATATCATACATATCATAAAAGTGCTTCATTCATACATCTGGGATAAGTCAACCACGTGGCCACTTTCCTCATGTATATCAATGATGTCATGCTTTAATTCTATGGGCATGACCGGCTCCTTCACATTACTCACTTTCTGAAGACCCGTCATTATTAACATTGCTTAATAATAATATTAACACATATTTATATGAATTATGAATATAACTTAATAGTAATGGGAAAATAACAGCAGAAACATATGAAGAATGTGAGAAAAATGAGCACAAAATAGTACTATATAGATGCATTAATACAAGGTAGCCACGCTAACTGAAAGAACCACTTAATTAAAGCTGTAAACAAAGCGAAGAAATTTGCCCTTCGCTTTGTTTACAGCTTTAACCAAGTGGTGGCGCAGCGAAATACTTGTCTGGGTTCGTATACCGATTTTTATTCGTATCCGGGTACAAATTTTGTTCTAACGTATGTTCGTATTCCGATACAAAAACTGTTCCAAATATTGATTATGTATACCGAACTAGTCATATCGATATACACTCGTATCCAGAGGTACCGCTGTATTTATATCTAAGGTACGTATGATTTTTAGTTGTGAGAGTAACTTTGGAATCTTATAGCAGCTAGGTGCCAATTCATTCTGAGAATGGACGTTTACAGAAGTAACTGTATATCAGTTTTGTAGAAAGAATAGTGTGCAATCTTATAGGTATAGCAATTTAGTTTAAACACAAAAGTTCCATCTGAGCAAGAAAATTAACTTTCTCATATTGTTAATAAATATTAGATTGCTTAAAACAAATAATTTAGTAAACAAGTGCTAGTGTTTTGTTTAATCATTAATCTTTGTTTTATTCCTAATTATAGATTAAAATAAGCTGAATAGTTTTGCTCTCTAAAAGCAATGAAAATTAAATGAGAATTTGACTATACATAAGAAACGTTTTCTCAAATTAACAACTAAATTTTCTGTAATGCAAGTGATTGCTAAATTTATTGTATAAGAAACAATCCTTTAGAAAATTATTATTGCACGGTAATAAGATAGCTGTAAAGGTAAAATTTATAAATATGATTTTTAAACTGCAAATGCTATTTTATACAGACTATCAGGGTTATTTATATTAAAAAGATGTATTTTTGATGTTACATACATTTGTGGTGGTACACAATTTCAGTTCCTTAACAAAGTAGAATACTATTAATGAAAGCAATTTCTATACCAGATCTAAGTTTTGAGTCGTTCACTTCTCCAAGGCTCTCTCTATATATATCGAATAACTTTCGATACAAGAGGTTGTTTTTCTTCATTTCGTTTTGAAAAACAACTTTTATTTCATTAACAATATAACTTCCTTATGTTTAAATATTTATATTAATTTACGATAAAATTTAAGTTTTAAAATACATAGTTGCATTGTCTGGAAAATACATGCATGTTTATTAAAATTAGGGAAAAAAAACAATCTTAGTTTGGCTTAAATGTTTAATCATTATAATAAACTATACAGACGGCGTTTTTTCAAAAGTCAGTTTTGATTATATGTAATTGCTGCTTTGGTTCAAATCTATGCAACAGGTTTTCTAAATATAGCTTGATGAAAATTGAAGTTAGAAGATTAAAATTAAGCTCTCATCTTTCTACAAATTGACCTGCGTTTTCAGAAACTTTCCATAAATTAGTTCGAAGTAATTCTTTAGAATTTATGTTTATTTAGTTAAGTACTCATATGAGCAGAAACACCTGACGACTTTTAAGCTGAAATACAAATGATAATAATAATAATGAGACTTTGCTTACATAGCTGTATTTATGCTCACTTAATGTTTGTTACTTAAAAATGGCTAATAAATAGTGCCCATTATATTTTACACACCGTTTGGAATCACTTTTGCAAACTCATTATTGAAGCTTTTATCGACATTTCCTGCTGCAACATGGTAGAAGTTTTCAGCCTTATAGATTATACACTATTTTAGAATATGG